GCAGCAGTGAGAGTGGGAGTGAGACAGAGGGTGACAGTGCTGAGGACAGCAGCTGATGAAAGCAGGAAGCAAAAGACGAAGATTGTCGGCAAGTGGAAGGTGAGCCGTGGTTAGTCTGCGAGATTAGGCAGAGGACAAAAGCAAGAGACGGTAGGTGGGGAATGGTGCACGGAGGTGGGTGGAGGAGAAGCAAGCGTGAAAAGGTGAGGGCGGATGGGAAGGGCTTACCTGCATGCATGCACACACGCTGGAGTCCGATAGGTTGGAAGCAGGGCAGCACGCATCGCATAGGCAGGCGCGCGCGAGGGGGGGTGGGGGGGAAGAGGGGGGAGAGGGGGGAAGAACAGACAATGGGGGAAGCAAGCAGATGATGAGAGGGTAAAAAAATGCATATGAACACATGGGTGTGGGGGGTTGGGGGATGATCGGGGAGGGGTAATGTAAAGGAGAGGGAAAACGGATAAGATTAAAAAGAAGAGGCAAAAAGGAATCTTAGAAAGGCTGGGGAGCACGCGCAACTGAGGCAGAGGATATGCATGAACGTTGCAACATCAGTTACAGGCCCGGGAACAGCTGACAAGCAGACAGAGGGATGTTGGAGCAAGCGATTTAGGAATGATAAACAGCAGGACGTTTGAGCAGTCGACAGGGACGTCAGGGACGTCGGACTAGGAGCAGTATAGAGAGGGTGGGGGACGTACGAGCAGTAGACGACATCGGCCACGCAGCGTAGGGCCTGTATCTGAGTCGACTCAGAAATAGGCTCATCACACACAGAAAGAGAGGGACATACGAGCAGTATACGACATCGGCCATGCAGCGCAGAGCCTGTGCGGCGTCCTGGAGGCTGTCACTCTGCAGGATGCAGGCGAGGATGGCGAAGATGCACGCCAGCTGCTCCAGACACACCAGGAACGCCTGTTGGGGCAACAAGGGGGATGGGGAAGAAGAGGGGTGGTGGATGGAGCAGGGCAGCGAAAGGGGATGGAGATGGTCAGGGCGGGGGAGAGCAGAGCAGAGTAGGGAAGACCAGAGAAGGCCAGGGCAGGGCAGGGCAGGGCAGGGCAGAGAAGGGCAGGAGCGGGCAGGACAGAGCAGCGTAATAGGATACTGTTGTGGCATTGGTTGTTCATGATGTTCCGCTGGTCTACCTCTGAGAAGCATATATTTTCCGGGCGCCTCAAAAGCAGAGAAGCGCAGAGCCGGGCAGGGCAGGGCAGGGCAGGGCAGGGCACTGCACGTACCAGAATGCCGTTGTCACACTTGCTGTTCATGATGTTGAGCTGGTCCTGGATGAGGAAGCGCGTGGCGGCGACGGACGAGGGGAAGCACAGGCACACCTCCATGCCCAGGCAGAACTTGGGACATTTAGACTCCCCGCAGTGCCCGCTGCAGGGCAGGAACCCTCCGCAGCACTGGTACCTGGCGCGCGCGGAGGGGGCAGAAGGGGGAGCGGGGAGCGGGGTGCGGGAGTGCGGGGACGCGGGTTGAATTAGGGAGTTCGGGAGGGTGGTCTTGGCGGGATGGAGTGTAGTAAGACGGGAGGGGAGGGAGGGGGAGAACGTGGAGGGATGAGCAGGCCTTTTCTAGGTGCCTGGCGCGATACAAGCGGCCCCGTTAAACGGGATTTGGTTACCCAGTGGAGTACCAAGTATGCAGCGCGCAAAAAAGGTCGGGGAGAATTGGCAGGAGAACGAGGGTGGAAGCTAGAGAGAGAGAAGAGGCTCCGGACGGGGGAGGGAAGGAGAGAGGGAGTAAAAGAGCGAAGCAGCGCGAGAAGACAGGAGGGCAAAGAGCCGCGCAAGTGGAGGGACGGTCGGCAGCGCGGCGCGTACCTTGACATGTCGCCATAGAGCACGCGGTCGCGCAGGTAATACGACGCGCAGGGGGAGCTGCGGGAAACGGGGGGAATGGGGATGCGGCCGAAAGGGCGCGGGGATGGCCAGTAAGAAAAGATGAGAATGGGCTAGAAAGAAAAGATCGAGAGATACACCAAAGGTGGAAATGATCGAGCGAGAGGAATGGCGGACACGAAATGCGGAAATTGAAAGGGGGAAAGCGGTTATTATTGTGAGGGTATGCCCGGCGAAGGAAATTAAATGCGTCAATGAACGCGAAAAGGGGGTATGGGTGAGGCCCGTACCACCAAGTGGCGATGCAGCAGACTGATGAAAGGCGCGACAGTTGCGAAATTTACGGGAGAGACGCGACATTTGCGAAAGTCAGTAACAGCACGAGCCAGGGAACAGCGACAGCATGGTGGTTAGTTGGCCGAAAGAAAGCTGGAAACAAAGCTCATATTCCTCGTTGTCTTGTGTGCAAAAAAAAGTGTGTGCCGTGAGGATGCAGTATACGATCGAACATTGAGCGAGTAAATGACGATGCTGGAAAAACACGACGCGTGTCCCGCAAGAATGTTTGGCACGTTGCTAGGAGCCGTGGTACATCAAAGAAAGACGAGAAACAGGAAGAGGCAAGAAAACGGAAAGAAAATAGTTCAAAAGGCATGTATCTTTTCCGGATGGTACTCACATGGAAGCTCCTTCGCAGGCGCCTGCCACATTTCAATCTGCCAGTTGTTGCGGAAGTTCTTACGACCTTCCATCGCCTGAGGGTTATACATCTTGGCGGCGGTTGCGGAAACTGGTTTCTTGCGCTGCGTTACCCTCAGACGCTCGCTCAGCGAAGAGCGAACGGTGTGTGAAGGGGAGCGAAGAAGATATTGGAAGAGCAGGTGCAAAAACGAAGCAGTGTTGGTGACAGAATGAGCAACAAGTTCTGATGTGTGCAGAAGTACAGTACAACCTCGGGAGCTCAAGGATCGAACCATTGCCCGGGGCGAAATCGCGCGCATCGGCGGAAATCGCGTTTGTCTCAAAAGAATCGACCCAAATTGCTCACACTTCGCCACGTGGGCGTTTTTCCTAATTGAATCGACCCCCTTCCCCCCAGCCCCCCCAAACCGTTTTTCCCGCCCGTCCTCTCCGAAATGCGGGCACCCGCTGGAATTTCGTGCAATCACAAAAAGTCACAAATACATTTTTTCCGTAACGCTAAGATTTCAACATGCGAGCGACATCTGATTGGACGAACTTTTACTTTTAATGATAACTTTAGCAGTAATATGGATTTCATTAATTATGTGCGACTGCTGTAACTTTTTTTTGAAATTTTGTAACATCCGTACATTTGTTTCTAATCAGTATCAAGCAGTAAACTCAAACACAACATAAACTTAGCTAACAAATAGTATATTTTGATTTGCATTGGAGTGGTTATTATCATAATCTTATGAAATGTAACTTTATATTTTCTATTTTTTTTGGAAAAAGATTTATGTAGATATACAAAAAACAAAAAAGGCCATTTTTCACGTGTTTTCTTGCGCCCTTATCTACATTAATGGCATGGGCTAATCCAAAAAATATGATACAATCAACATGTATATTAACCTCATGAGATTGAGAAGCAACCGCCAAAATTATCGAATTGCGAAAGCTGATGTGGCATGCCAAAACCAGATGGTGGATTTAGCAAGAGTAGGGAGCACGAATTCGTGACTGTTTGTGACTCTACAAACTTTTCGCGGATGCCCGAATTTCGGATGGGAAGGGCGGGAAAAACGTTGGGGGGGCGGGGGGAAAGGGGGTCGATTCAATTAGGGGCAACGCCCACGTGGCGAAGTGTGAGCAATTTGGGTCGATTCTTTTGAGACAAACACGATTTCCGCCGATGCGCGCGATTTCGCCATTGCCCGGCCTAGCCTTGAGATTACCGACCGGGCCAGCAAACTGCGCCAATTCCCCATTGGCCTGTTGTGTTTTCTGTGTGCCCCCCGTCCCCCCCCCCACCAAACGCAGATGCGCGGGGCGGAAAAGAATTGGCCGAGATTGAGCGGAGTTGGCGCGGGGGATGCACCAGGACGGGAATGAGGGGGAAGTGAGAAAGTGAGGGGGGTGCTGCTGGGTGTTCGTGGATCGTGATTCGTGGTGAGAAGCGCGGGAAGGGGAAACGGTGTTGTCGCGGGGCCAGCATTTCGGACTCGAAGTTTTTCCCCAGACACTCGTGTAGCGGATGTTCCGCGGACGAGAATGGCGCAGGGATTGACTTTTGATGGGGGAAGGGTCGGAAAGAATCAAATGGCGGCGCCAGAGACGCAATTTCGAGGTTTGGGAAGACAGCTGTTGTGTCAGCGGTGATATGTGGTTTGGAAACTTCTGAGATACAGATACGGTAACCTTGTGTCCCTTATCGGGGTTGACTGCTGCGCGTACAACCCGATTTTCGGAGTTCGCACGTTCGGGCGATTTCCACGCTGCCGAGGCTCCTCGCGTCGCCTTCGGCATTCCCATCGCCAAACCTGCACCCAACCTCGCTCGTCCGAGGTTTCCTCCTAGCTAGGCTAGCCTACATTAGTCTTTGCATTCATTGTATTCTCAGTTCATTCAGTCACAGCCTCGATATTCGTTTACCTGCGCACTCTCTTTTACAACTCATAACACTTGGGCACAAGGGAACGCCGTCGGATCGATTTGATGATGGTGTTGCAAGGATCTCCAGCCGTGCATCTGTGGCCCCAGCTGGCTTGGCGCTGGCTTGTGTGATGCAGTTCGTCCTTCCTGGGAGAATGAATGAACCAGTTATCATTTGCCAGTTGGCTGTAACAATACCCCCATGACAAATCGTGCTGATATCGTGTATCAAAATTTCACCACTACATATTGTACAGAACAGCGTTATAATTATAACGAATAAATCACTGGGGATGTCCTCCGGCGAAACTGCGAACAGCTTCGAGAGGCGTGATTCGTGGGTCACGACTTGAGCTTGCCTGCCAAGCCGCACGGCGGGTTTTGCGAAATGAAAAGTGGTTCGCGCAGCCTTTGACGATGTGGTAACACGCATTGGTGGCCGCAGGGATGACACGAAAGTAGTTTTTTCAGCACCCAACTGACACAAGTCCCCGATAATATCGCCAGTAACATTTCTCCCCACTTGAGATGGCATCTCCGCGGGACAAAATATGTCACCAGCTCAAGGTCGAGGCAAAAATCGTCCTAAGCCAGGCTTATCTACAACGGTGACGAATCGTCAATCCGTTCTATGCATACTCAAACTAGCAATAACCTAATTTGCCACAAGCAGCCGTTCAGCTGGCAACCCGCCATTCCTCCCACCGCCCGTCGGCGGCGCAAAGGGCGGCGTCTCCCATTGCGACCCTGAGAGACACCCTCACCCTGCCCTTGTCGCTGCAACTCCCGGAATCTCTCCCCCAACTACCGCCTCTCCCGCAGCTACCGCCCCTCCCGCACCTACCGCCCTTCCCGCAGTTACCGCCCCTTCCGCAATTACCCCCCCTTCCGCCGCTTCATATCCCGCATCTTCCGCGCAACCTCCAAGAATGGCGCGACAACTTTCAATGGCCCCCAGCCGGTTGGGACTGGGCGGAGCTCCGCCGCATGCTCGCCTCCGCGCTGCACGCGGAAGGCTCCGCGGCGGGCCCGCTTGCCGCATGGGCGGCGGCGGCGGCGGCGGCGGGGCTAGACTTGAACGCATGGGGCCTGCTAGGGCTGCTGGAAGATGGCGGGGGGGAGGGTGAGGGGGGGCGGCGCGCGCAAGGGGAGGGGGTCGCGGTAGCTCGGCGCTTGGCGGCGTTTCGTCCCCACGAGAACCCGCTTCTTCGCGACGCGCTGTTGAAGCAAATGCGCGTAGTAGCCGCCGCACGAGACGCTGGCAGGCCAATAGCTGGAGCTGATACAAACGTTGATATCTGCATTAGCGAGTTCGAAGGCGTACACTATCGCGTACAGGTGGAAGAATCGGATCCTGGAACGCTCCTCTTATCCATAGCGATCCCGCAGGCAGGTCCCGAGGTGATGACCAGCGCAGGACTGCCACGTGGCGCAATCGAGGCCGTCCACCTCGGGTACTGGCAGATCGCGACCGTTCTGCCGACGCCTGAACCCGGATATAATCTCACGCTGGTAGTTAATCTCGCGCGTCTCCCGGACCGCGACTCCACCCGGGAAGCCATTGCTTGCAAGCTCGCGCGCTTGCGCTCGTTCGTCATGGGCGCGCCGCTCCGCGCTGCGCTGCTTCCGCTACGCGCGGGCGGGGTGATAGGGGTCGGCGGAACGGCGGGCGGGAGCGACCTGGGGGAAGCTGCGCGCGGATTGGGGGGCGCGGTTGGGGAGTCGTGGGGAGGAGCGGGGATGCTGACGAGTGTGGTGCACCGGAAGGGGCGGGTGATGTTCGTGGTGTCGCGCGGGGCGAGTGTGACTATAGTGATTCCGATGCGTTTTAAGGACATGGATGATGCTGTTATCGCGACCCAGTTCCTGCTGGTAATACGGGGCTGCCATGGCGGGCATTTGGCGCATGGCGCATGGTTAAGGGCACATGGGCGCATGACATGGGGTGATTGCAACGGCCGTGTGCACACACGCACATGCATTCACATACGCACGCGTGCATATGCACGTGCACGTGCGCGTCCAGCATGCTTTTGAAACTCAGGAGCAGCATTAACTCATCATTATTCCCTTATTTCCCTTGCCCGACTGAACGTCCCCTAATCCGCACCCCTCTCACCTCTACCTCCCCCTTCCCCCCTCTTCCCCCTTCCCCCTCCCCTCCCGCGCGCGCGCCCATCCCCGCGTCCCCCCACCCCAGGAGCTCGAGGCCACGCGTCGCGAGGCGGACGTGGCGGCCAGGCGCGCCGCGGCCGCCGCCGCAGCCTACGCAGCCGCCACCCTGGAAACCGCCAAGGCGCACGCGCAGGCGCTGCTCGACCCGCGCGCGCCCCCGCCCCCGCCTCCGCCCCCTCCGCCCCCCCAAGACCCGCTCGCCCCCTTAGCATCCGCGCCAGCGTTCTCCTTCTCGTATGTTTGCCCGGAGGAAGTTAGGGAAGCGCCTATTCAGTACCGGTCCGCTAATGCTGGATACGCGTGCTTCGACGTGGGGAGGCGGCACTTGGAGGGGGGAAGCGGGGGAAGCGGGGGAGGCCCGGGGGGCGGGGGAGGAAGCGGGGGAGGAGGAGGGGGGGAAGGGGGAGAAGCGGGGTGGCGGTGGGAGCGCGTGGTGTGGGGGCTGGAGAGCTTTCACGGCGTGGTGGCTAATCATGTGCGGTGGAGCAAGGTGGCCATGCGCCGACGCATGCGCGCTTGGGAAGAGCGGCTGCACCAGGTGCGCTGGGGGAAGGGGAGGGGGGAATGAGGATGGGGGGAGGGGGTGACGGGAAGGGTGTGGGTAGAGGGAGGGAGGAGGGAGGGACGACGGGGGGTTGTATCGAGTTTGGAGGTGTGTAAAGAGTTTCACATAGGCGAGTGTGTGGGAGGAGGGAGAGTGCAAGAGAATTTATGGGAAGAGATTTCTAACTAGAAGCTCCTGAATCGTTTTTCAAACATACACATTCTCTCCAACTTTTTCCCCTCCCATTCACTCCCGTTTCCCACTCTTTCCCATTCTTTGCTTCTCCCCGTTCTTCCCCCTTTCGCCCCTTCACCCCCCCCCCCCCCCCCCGCTTCTCCAGCGCCTTCCTCAGCCTCCCCCGCCTGTGATGCGCCACTCCCCCCACAAGGAGTCCCCCTCTCTCCCCCTTCCGCTGCTGGCATGCGTGGATGATGAGGAGGAGGGGGAGGAGGGGGAAGTGTGGGGGGAAGGGGGAGCGGATGGGGGGGTTCATGGGGCGGAGGCAGCAGCATTGGCGGAAGAAGTGGCTGGGATGATGCGGGGAGGAGGGAGGGAGGAGGGGGGAAAGGGGGAGGGGTCAAGAGGGGGGCGGAGAAAGGGGAGGAGTGGGGGGAAGGAAGAGGGAGATGGGATGGGGAGTGGGAAGGAAAGGAGATTGAGAAGGAAAGGATTGGAGGCGGGTAGGGAGGGACGGAGGAAGGGGATAATGGAGGGATATGGGATGGCGGGGGATAGGGAGGGGCCAAAAAGACAGAAATCAAGTGTGGGGAGGAATGAGAGGGAGAAAGGGAAGGAGAAACAGAAGGAGAAGGAGAAGGAAGGAGGTAGGAGCAAAAAGAAACTTCTGAAGGGGAAGAGTGGGAAAATGGGTAAAGGGTTGAAAGGGGATGTGGGTGGGAAGAGTGGGAAGGAGAGGAAGGGGAGGGATGGAGACCCATGGATGGTGGAGGGGCGTGATAGTGAGGTGGTGGAGGGGCGTGATAGTGAGGTGGTGGAGGGGCGTGATAGTGAGGTGGTGGAGGGGCGTGATAGTGAGGTGGTGGAGGATTGGTGGGGGATGGTTGATGCTACTCCAGCTGATCCTGCTGATGCCCCTGCTGGTGCTATAGCTGATGCTGCTGATGGTGCTGGTGCGAGAATGTCTGAAGCTGATGTTGGCACGACGGATGAAGACGATGGGAAGGGGATGGGAGGGCATGCATTGCAGGCTGGTGGACTGAGGGAGACGAAGGGAGGCGAGGAGGTCCAAGAAGGGAGACGAGAGGAGGAGAAGGATTTGGAAGGAGAGGAGGTGAAGGAAACAGGAGGTGAGGAGGAGAAAGAAACGGGAGAAAAGGAGAAGGAAAAGGAAGGAGAGGAGAAGGAAAAGGGAGGAGAAGAGATGGAAAAGGGAGGAGAGGAGAAGGAAAAGGAAGGAGAAGAGGAGAAGGAAAAGGGAGGAGAGCGGGTGAAGGGAACGGGAGGAGAGGAGGAGAAGGAAAAGGAAGGGGAGGAGAAGGAAAAGGGAGGAAAAGTGGAGAAGGAAAAGGGAGGAGAGGAGAAGGAAAAGGGAGAAGAGGAGGTGAGGGAAAAGGGAGAGGTAATGAAGGAAAAGGAAGGAGAGAAGGAAAAGGGAGGAGAGGAGAAGGAAAAGGGAGGAGAGAAGGAAAAGGTAGGAGAGGAGAAGGAAAAGGGAGGAGAGGAGGTGAAGGAAAAGGGAGGAGAGGAGGTGAAGGGAAAGGGAGGAGAGGAGGTGAAGGAAAAGGGAGGAGAGGAGGTGAAGGAAAAGGAAGGAGAGGAGAAGGAAATGTTAGGAGAGGAGGAGAAGGAAAAGGAAGGAGAGGAGAAGGAAAAGGTAGGAGAGGAGAAGGAAAAGGGAGGAGAGGAGGTGAAGGAGAAGGAAGGAGAGGAGAAGAAAAAGGTAGGAGAGGAGAAGGAAAAGGGAGGAGAGGAGAAGGAAAAGGGAGGAGAGGAGGTGAAGGAAAAGGGGGGAGAGAAGGAAAAGGGAGGGCCGGATGTGAAAGAAAAGGGAGGAGAGGAGGAGGAAAAGGAGACGGAAAAGGGAGGAGAGGAGAAGGAAAAGGGAGGAGAGGAGAAGGAAAAGGGAGGAGAAGAGGTGAAGCAAAAGGGAGGAGAAGAGAAGGAAAAGGGAGGAGAGGAGGTGAAGGAAACGGGAGAAGAGGAGGTGAAGGAAAAGGAAGGAGAGGAGGAGGAAAAGGGAGGAGAGGAGGTGAAGGAAATCGGTGGAGAAGAGGAGAAGGAAAAGGGAGGAGAAGAGTTGAAGGAAAAGGAAGGAGAGGAAAAGAAAAAGGTAGGAGAGGAGAAGGAAAAGGGAGGAGAGGAGGTGAAGAAAACGGTAGGAGAGGTGGTTAAGGAAAAGGGAGAAGAGAAGGAAAAGGGAGGAGAGGAGGCGAAGGAAAAGGAAGGAGAGGAGATGAAGGAAAAGGAAGGAACGGAGGTGAAGGAAAAGGAAAGAACGGAGGTGGAGGAAACAGGAGGAGAAGGGGCCAAGGAAATGGAAGGACAGCAAGCTGAACTTGCTGATGGAGAAGGGGTTAAGGAGGGAGAAGAGGTTAAGGAGGGAGAAGAGGTTAAGGAGGGAGACGAGGTTAAGGAGGGAGAAGAGGTTAAGGAGGGAGACGAGGTTAAGGAGGGAGACAACAAGAAGGATGGAGGTGCAAAGGAGGGTGAAGTGAAGGAGGGTGATGCGAAGGAGGGTGAAGCAAAGGAGGGTGAAAGAAAGGAGGGTGAGAGAGGGCAGGGTGAAGGAAAGGAGGGTGAAAGAAAAGAGGGTGAGGGAGGGGAGGGTGAAGGAAAGGAGGGTGAAAGAAAGGAGGGTGAAGTAGAGGAGGGTGATAAGAAAAGGCACACTAAGGAAGGTGAAGCATTAAGGCAAGATGATAGTGCGGGAATGAGAGTGGATGGTGGAGGGGCTGTCACATACGAGATGGACGGGACATCAATACTAGCACCAGCACCACCAGCAGCACCACCTGCACCACCACCTGCGCCACCACCTGCACCACCACCTGCACCACCAGCAGCACCACCTGCACCACCACCTGCACCACCAGCAGCACCACCTGCGCCACCAGCTGCACCACCACCTGCACCACCAGCAGCACCACCTGCGCCACCACCTGCGCCACCACCTGCACCACCAGCAGCACCACCTGCGCCACCACCTGCACCACCACCTGCGCCACCACCTGCACCACCACCTGCACCACCAGCAGCACCACCTGCGCCACCACCTGCGCCACCACCTGCACCACCAGCAGCACCACCTGCGCCACCACCTGCACCACCACCTGCTCCACCACCTGCACCAACAGCACCACCACCTGCGCCACCACCTGCACCACCAGCAGCACCACCTGCACCACCACCTGCACCACCAGCAGCAGCACCACCAGCACCACCACCTGCGCCACCACCTGCACCACCAGCAGCACCACCTGCACCACCACCTGCACCACCAGCAGCACCACCACCTCCGCCACCACCTGCGCCACCACCTGCACCACCACCTGCACCACCACCTGCACCACCAGCAGCACCACCTGCACCACCACCTGCGCCACCACCTGCACCACCAGCAGCACCACCTGCACCACCACCTGCACCACCAGCAGCACCACCTGCGCCACCACCTGCGCCACCACCTGCACCACCACCTGCACCACCACCTGCACCACCAGCAGCACCACCTGCGCCACCACCTGCACCACCACCTGCACCACCAGCAGCACCACCTGCGCCACCACCTGCGCCACCACCTGCGCCACCACCTGCACCACCAGCAGCACCACCACCTGCACCACCACCTGCACCACCAGCAGCACCACCTGCGCCACCACCTGCGCCACCACCTGCGCCACCACCTGCACCACCACCTGCACCACCACCTGCACCACCAGCAGCACCACCTGCGCCACCACCTGCACCACCACCTGCACCACCAGCAGCACCACCTGCGCCACCACCTGCGCCACCACCTGCGCCACCACCTGCACCACCACCTGCGCCACCACCTGCACCACCACCAGCACCACCACCTGCGCCACCACCTGCACCACCAGCAGCACCACCTGCACCACCACCTGCACCACCAGCAGCACCACCACCTCCGCCACCACCTGCGCCACCACCTGCACCACCACCTGCACCACCACCTGCACCACCAGCAGCACCACCTGCACCACCACCTGCGCCACCACCTGCACCACCAGCAGCACCACCTGCACCACCACCTGCACCACCAGCAGCACCACCTGCGCCACCACCTGCGCCACCACCTGCACCACCACCTGCACCACCACCTGCACCACCAGCAGCACCACCTGCGCCACCACCTGCACCACCACCTGCACCACCAGCAGCACCACCTGCGCCACCACCTGCGCCACCACCTGCGCCACCACCTGCACCACCAGCAGCACCACCACCTGCACCACCACCTGCACCACCAGCAGCACCACCTGCGCCACCACCTGCGCCACCACCTGCGCCACCACCTGCACCACCACCTGCACCACCACCTGCACCACCAGCAGCACCACCTGCGCCACCACCTGCACCACCACCTGCACCACCAGCAGCACCACCTGCGCCAACACCTGCACCACCACCAGCACCACCACCTGCACCACCACCTGCACCACCACCTGCGCCACCACCTGCACCACCACATGCGCCACCACCTGCGCCACCACCTGCACCACCACCTGCACCACCACCTGCACCACCACCTGCGCCACCACCTGCACCACCAGCAGCACCACCAGCACCACCACCTGCGCCACCACCTGCACCACCAGCAGCACCACCTGCACCACCACCTGCACCACCAGCAGCACCACCTGCGCCACCACCTGCACCACCACCAGGACCACCACCTGCACCACCACCTGCGCCACCACCTGCACCACCACCTGCGCCACCACCTGCACCACCAGCAGCACCACCTGCGCCACCACCTGCACCACCACCTGCGCCATCACCTGCACCACCACCTGCACCACCAGCAGCACCACCTGCGCCACCACCTGCACCACCACCAGCACCACCACCTGCACCACCACCTGCACCACCAGCAGCACCACCTGCGCCACCACCTGCACCACCACCTGCGCCACCACCTACACCACCACCTGCACCACCACCTGCACCACTACCTGCGCCACCACCTGCACCACCAGCAGCACCACCAGCACCACCACCTGCGCCACCACCTGCACCACCAGCAGCACCACCTGCACCACCACCTGCACCACCAGCAGCACCACCTGCGCCACCACCTGCACCACCACCTGCGCCACCACCTGCGCCACCACCTGCACCACCACCTGCACCACCTGCACCGCCAGCAGCACCACCACCTGCACCACCTGCACCACCTGCACCACCTGCACCACCAGCAGCACCACCTGCGCCACCACCTGCACCACCACCTGCGCCACCACCTGCACCCCCACCTGCACCACCACCTGCGCCACCACCTGCACCACCACCTTCACCACCAGCAGCACCACCTGCGCCACCACCTGCACCACCACCTGCGCCACCAGCAGCATCACCACCTGCGCCTTCACCTGCACCACCAGCAGCACCACCAGCAGCACCACCAGCACCACCACCACCACCACCTGCGCCACCACCTGCACCACCAGCAGCACCACCAGCAGCACCACCAGCACCACCACCACCACCACCACCACCACCACCGCCACCTGCACCACCAGCAGCACCACCTGCGCCACCAGCAGCACCACCACACCAGCAGCACCACCTGTGCCACCACCTGCACCACCTGCGCCACCACCTGCACCACCACCTGCGCCACCACCTGCACCACCACCTGCACCACCAGCAGCACCACCTGCGCCACCAGCAGCACCACCACACCAGCAGCACCACCTGCACCACCACCTGCACCACCACCTGCGCCACCACCTGCACCACCAGCAGCACCACCTGCGCCACCACCTGCACCACCACCTGCGCCACCACCTGCACCACCAGCAGCACCACCTGCGCCACCACCTGCACCACCACCTGCACCACCAGCAGCAGCACCACCTGCGCCACCACCTGCGCCACCACCTGCACCACCAGCAGCACCACCACCTCCGCCACCACCTGCGCCACCACCTGCACCACCAGCAGCACCACCACCTTTTCCACCACCTGCACCACCAGCACCACCAGCACCACCACCTGCGCCACCACCTGCGCCACCACCTGCGCCACCACCTGCACCACCACCTGCACCACCAGCGGCACCACCACCGCCGCCGCCACCGCCACCTCCACCTCCACCACTAGCATGACGATATCAATGATCAGTGCCACTTGTTTAACCACTGACATTGCCATCACTATTCTTGGTTGCCACATGTATGCAATGGAAATGAACGACTTCAAGCATTCAACAATAAAAATCTGGCACAGGATTTGGAAAGAGGCAGCAGAGTGTTGAAGGCTATTTATTTTCAGGTTACTAGTAAACAAATTGGTTGTGTATTGTTTTCTGTTACTAGTGTACAAATTGGTTGTGTATTGTTTTCTGTTGTGTATTGGTTATTCCTTTTCTTGTGTGTTGTTTTATTGTTTTCTTGTTTTCTGTTTTGGCGCAAGCGCAGGAGTCATGTCAGCAATTCTGCTGTGGAAGCGCGCGACGCGTCTTTCAGGTGTCAGCAAATTTAATTGGTCAGACCGAGACGCCCCGCCTGTCTGACAGGGGGAGGAGGGATCAAGCGAGGTCGAAGAAAAAGGTCGTAGCTCGAGACGCTGCCCGCGGGGCGGAGAGGAACAAGGAAGTGCGGATGGGCGGAACGATGTGTTTGGTTGTGGCGTGGATTGCGTTGTCATTTTTTTGCACCCTGCCCACTAAAACTTCCATGTGCGGGCCACCTCATCTGTGACAGGTGGTGCGCACAAACATCCACAATCAAAAGGGTAGAATTACGCATTCTCATCCACTCTAATGATCAATGGTTATTGTTCTCACGTTTGTGCTGATGAGCTCCCACATGTCCTGGAACAAATGAAACACATCCGAATTCTACCATCAGTGTGCTTGAGGTTCCTGAATTTCTCGGAGCCGGTAAGTTTACTACACCGATTATCTTGATTGTTAGCCCACAAACGAACTTAAGTCGAGGTTACTTGTGGTTTCTAGCATAGGTGGTCTTCGAACCGTAAGTACCAGATTTTAGTGTAACTTCGTAAAGAGAAAAAGCCCCGGCGGGTGTGACATGGTCTGAAATATTGTAAGTGAATCACTTTCCGAGGGGAGGGGATAGTTGACGCCCAGAAGCCTGATGGGCTAATTCTGATTTGAATGCGGGTCAGCTGACACACCAGCCTGATTGCTAAAGGGTTGAGAAAGAGTGGTGACGCACTTTGACGCGATTTCTCGACGGACAACAAACTCCGCCCCAGAAACTGTCACGGAAGGCCCATGTGGCCCGTGAAGTGTCTCTTCACGGGCAACCTTGTTGATTGGGTTGGGTTGGTTCAGCCATAGACTCGTTCTAGTTGCTTCGGTGCCAGCCATCTCGCAAATTTGTACCGCTCGGTCTGTCGGCGAGTCCCCCGCAATCTGCCTCACTCAAATTCCAACATCAAGACCCCCTGACCACTCTCCCGTCGGCTCACCTTATCTCTGAGCCTGCCAAGAGAAGAATTCGTTTCTGCTGTGATATCAGCCACCTAGTACGTTACAGTCCATTCGCGCCGTCAAAAGGACAATCAAGAACGCTCAGGCAACCAGAGCGGTTGACAGATCCCGTCAACGCAGCACCCATCGATCCGCGTCCGGCGGTCGATTCCTCTCGTTCCGTGTCCCTCGAATCAATACCGTGTTAGATTGCTGCACGAGCAAGTCCCGGCGAAAGCGATTGTCGCATAGCCGTCCAAGTATCTATTCCCTGTAACCCTTACCTGTATCACGCGCGTCAGCAACCTCCCGCGGTCAGCGTCCACACGTGATCCACGTTGGAAGCCACATGGGTGAGAAGTGGGTAACACCGACCGGACGGCCCCGGCCCCCGAAAGGCTCTGCGTCCGCGCCAAGCCGCTTAAAGTCCATCTCTAAAATCTCCCTCAGCGATCGACGGTTGTGGGAGCAGGAGCGGCGGCGCCTGATGCGGGCGGGCCGACGGCCAGGGCTGATGGAGAGCGAGGAGGAGGGGGAGGAGGATGGAGACGACGATTCGGAGACGGAGGAGGAGGAGGAGGAGGAGCAGCGATGAGTCGGACACGTGGTGCGCGTACTGCTGCGAGCCGCCTCGGCTGCAGAGCATCTGCGCCTTCTTCTTCGCGCTCATGATCTTCTCCGCGCTGCTCGTCGCGCTATTCAGCGCCGCCGGCTTGATAAACGTGCGCCTCCGTTCGGTTGTCGCTCGATTCTTCTCTTCCCGACTCCTTTATCCCGGTTCTTCCATTCTTGCTTCTTCCATGCCCCATTCATCTATTCCCGATTCCCCTATTCCCACGACCTCCGAGATGCGATGGGAGTCCCGTCGCACCTCCCTCCACCCACCCTCTCCTCGCGCCGTTTCCATACATTCCCCCTGTAGTTCATCACTCCGCGCTGCTTCCTTCCTCCCATGCCCTTGCTTCCTTCCAGTTCATGCCTCCCCGTTCATGCCTCCCCCCCTTGCCCCCTTCGCCTCCGCGCGCGCCCATCCCGCCAGCCCGTCAAGGATTGGTTGCCGCCGCCGCCACAGCCGCGCCGTCACAGCCCTCCTCGGCCCGTACAAGGTGCGCGCTGCGGCGCCTCCTCTCGTGCCAGCCTCTGCACTAAATTGTATTCCACATTATTACGTCGACCGTATCTGTATCGACTTGTTTGCCGCCGCGTCTCAATCAAGAGTGCTTGCGGCGGCTATGGCTCGCTTGCTTGCTGATCCTATCCTGCGCGCATCCGACTAACTGCCCGTCTTCTCGCCCCAAACCGTCCCTGCTCTTCCCCTTCTCCTCGCTTTCCCCTTTCTATCCGCTCTCCCCGCTCTCCCCGCTCTCTCCGCTCTCCCCGCTCTCCCCGCTCTCCCCGCTCTCCCCGCTCACCTCTTTTTCCCTCAGGGAGCAGGTCATTTCCAATATCCCCAGATTCACTCCAAATCATTTTCTCTCCTCTCCCCCCCCTCTCCCCCACTGTGCGCGCCATGCCTCGCACCAGAGAACGAGCCGCGAACTATAGGAGTGTTTCCGCTACTGCCGGCGAGCGACTCGGAGCAGCTGGCGGCGCTGCAGCGGCAGCTCGAGCACCAGCAGAAGCTGCTCGCGGCGCATCGCCAGAACGAGCAGTCGGCGGCGCCGGCGGCGTCATCTGCGGCGTCATCGACGCTGCAACAGCCGCTTCTGCAGACACCGCACCAGCGGCGCAAGCGTGACGCGCGGACCGCGCCGCTGCAGCAGTTCCAGAAGCTCCGCCCGTTTGGCATCGGCCCGCAGGGGCAGGCACAGGCGCAGGCGGCTGGCGCGGAGCAGGGCGCGGGGGAGCTGGGGAAGGCGGAGGAAGCGGAAAGGACGGGGGCGCAATGGGGAGAGGGGGATGCGGGGGGATCCGCGCAAGGGAGTGCGGTAATGGAGTCGCAGCAGCAGGAGCAAGCGGAGGAGCAGCAGGTGCTGATGCAGGAGCAGCGACAGCACGCGCAGGCGCAAGGCGCAGCAGCGCAGGAAGGGGGGGGGGATCAAGCTGAGCGCGCGGAGGAAGCGCAGGCGCAAGGCGAGGCGCAAAACGGAGCGCAAGGCGGGGCGCAAGAGTTTCGCGTACAGGGCCTGAGCGGAATGGGGGGGTCAGAAGGTGGGGAAGGCGCAGACGGAGAGGCGGAGGCAGGCGTAGGCGCGGCGGGGAATGCGGGCGTGAGCGTGAGCGTGGTGCCGTCGTCGCTGCCTGTGGTTGACGTGTTCTCGAAGCTCGACCCTACGACCGCTCGCACCGTCGCCAAGCTGTCGCCTGCGACCATCACGTGCGACAAGGCCGTTCCGCTCGCTGCCGCGGTGAGCTCTAGGCGCGGGGACGGGGGATGCTTATTTCTAGGCGCCTCATTAAAAGGCGCGGGGACGAGGGGAAGAAGGAAATTGCTCTTTCGCCTACATGCCCTACCTTGCCTTCGCGTGCCATCGCTCCCCTCGCTCTGTCTCCCTCTCTCCATGGCCTTTCCGTCACCAACCCTCGCCCGCGTCTGCGTGTTCCCCCGTCGTTCCCCCTCCTCCCAACCTCCCCATCCATTTCCCCTTCCGCAGAACGCGCCTGGCGGGGGCCAGCACAGAGCAGCGCGGCTCCCCAACTGCGAACCTCCGCCCACCGATACCCCCTGGCTCCGCCCCTCCGCTCCCGCCGCCTCCGCCGCCGTCGCCGCTTCTGCTGGTGTTGGGCAGGGGGCAGCAGCAGGTGGTGATGGGATTGGGGGAACGAGCGCAATGGCGCAAGCAGGCGCAATTGAGCATGTTTCAAGCACTGCGGAGCGGGTGGGGCAGCAGCAGCACCAACAACAGCCACAGCAGCCGCCACAGCAGCAGCAGCAGCAGCAGCAGCAGCAGCAGCAGCAGCAGCAGGGGCGGTATCCGATTGAGCAGGCGCAGCAGGGGCGGTATCCGATTGAGCAGGCGCAGCAGGGGCGGGGAGGGCATGTGGGCGCGGACAGTGAGATGGCAGCGCCGTTCCAAGCATGTGTGGACCACACGAAAGTGCAGCGCATGGGTGAGATGGGGCACTGCATGATGGGTCGGCATGGCATGGCAGGACATGGTTGGGACGGCAGGGCAGGGCATTGGTTGGCATGGCACGACATGGATTGGATTGACACGGCAGGGCGGGGATGGCAGGGCAGCGCATGGCATGGCATGGCATGTGCGTTATCCACTCAGCACATACACAGACACTGCTCCCAACGCTGCCTCACGCTGCACTTCCCACCCCCCCACACCCTTCCCACCCTTCCCCTCTTCCCACCCTTCCCCTCTTCCCACCCTTCCCCTCTTCCCACCCTTCCCCTCTTCCCACCCTTCCCCTCTTCCCACCCTTCCCTCCACCACTCCCAGCACTTTCCACCCCCTGTCCTTCGCACTCACTCCCATCCCTTCTCTTCTCTTCCTCCATACCTCCTACCTTCATTCCCCATCTTTTCCCCTTAGCCTCTTACTTACCTTTGGCTTCCCCACTCAAACCCCCCCTCCTTCAAACCCCTCCTCTTCCCTCCCCTTTCCCCCACCGCTCCCCCCACCAGCAGAGCAATCCGGATGGCCGTACCTGTTGATGCAGGGGCGGCTGGCAGGCCTGATAGCCCAGGAACAAGCGTCGCCGCGTGCAGTGTGGGTGGCCAAGGCTGTTGGCGCTGTGGCGACTCAAAAGACCCCCTCTTCTCCCCCATCCCCCCCCCCACCTTCCCCCACCAGCGGAGCAATCAGGGTGGCCGTACCTGTTGATGCAGGGCCGATCTGCAGGGCTGGTGGCGCAGGAGCAGGCGCTGCTGCGCGCCGTATGGGTGGCCAAGGCTGTTGGCGCTGTGCTCGTGCTGCCACCAATGGTGACACACGCAACGACCGGTGGATTGGAGCAGCAGGGGCAGCGGCAGGAGCAGGGAGTGAAGGAGACGGGGATGGAGAGGCTGTTCAGCACGCACTTCTTCATCACTCATGTGAGCCTTGCCCTGCCATGCCGTGGCGTGCTAGGAATTGTTGGGAGGAGAGAGTGTGTGCGCGTGTATGGGTGTGTGTGGGCGTGTGGGTGTGCAAAGGTGCCAAGGGCGTGGAGTGGAGGCCCTGGGCAAAGGAGGATGGGCCTCGGTGGACGATGAGCTTTCGCAGTGTGCTCTGGGCGTGGAGGCCCTGAGAAAGTGTGTGGGGTGGGGGGGGGGAGGGGGGAGGGCGCACATACAGTGTGCCAGTGCGTGTGCGCTTGAGCATTCACGTAGCAGCATTGCACATCCCTCATGTGTTCTGTGTGTGTTCGATTTCTCCCCCCAACCCCTTCCTCCTCTCCTCCCCTTCCTCCATGTGTCCTCTGCTGCACGGCATTTGCTGCTGTCACTCTTGCGTCCCTCCTCCCACTGGTGCTGCTGCTGCTGCTGCCACGGCATGACATGGCACATCAACTGCAGATGTACTGCTCATCAGGTACATTCCCCTCGCCTTCCCTCTTCTTTCCTTGCCTTCTCTTGCCTTCCCTCCGCTTACCTTTCCCCCTTGACTTATCTTCTCTTGCCGTCCTTCTTGCCATTGCCCCACTACTTCAATGCTCTGTTCTATCCTACTGCCTCACCATACCCTTCTCCTTGCCCCTACCTGTCCCCCCTGCCCCTTCCCCCCCACCCACAGGGATCTGGGTTGTGCCGCAGCTGCCTGGAAGCGTCTGGGACCGGCTGCCCACAGGGGTGTCCGGGGATGACGTGGACGCCTTGCTGGCGCTGCCAGGTGGCATCGCGCAGCGCATCCCACGTGACGTAGTGGCTGCTAGTGGCGATGCTGAGAGTGCAGCACTGGCAGAGTGGCTGCAATCCATGGGCCGCAAGACCAAGAAGGGCGAGGTGAGAGGCGTGAGAGGGAGTGTGTGGAAGGAGTAAGAGAGGGAGTGTGGAGGGGCTGTGAGAGGGGTTGTGAGAGGGCGAGCAAGAGAAAGTGTGGAAGAAAGGATTTTTTTCTGGTTTGACTGTTTCCTATGCTTCCTATGTTTCCCCATTCTCATGTCTCACTTGATCTCACGGCTTCTGCTCCTCTTCTCCTCTCAACCCCTTCCCTCCTAATCTCCCCCTCAGGTCCGGCTGTTGATATACGACTCCTCAGACCCCATCTCCTTCACCACCTCCCAGCAACCACAGCAGCAGCAAACCCAGCAGCAGATGCAGCAGCAATTGCAGCAGCAGGGGAGGGTGAGGAAGAACGCACTGGCAGCGCTGCGAGTGGTGCCCCCCATAGCATCAGTGACCACGCAGCTGCTGCACCTGCTGCGCAAGGCCTACCAGGCCCGCTTCGGCGACCTCTCCCGCTTCCACTTTGCTGCCCTGCGCCTGACGCTTGAGGCCCCACCGCAACTCGAAGCAGCAGGAGGAGAAGGGTCAGCAGGAGGTGCTCTCGCTGCTGCAAGCCTGCAGGCAGCACGCGAGGCGCTCTTGACTCTCCTGGACCCGTCCAGAACGCTGCTATATGTCATCATTGCCCCCGTGCCGCACCGCACGGCCATTCTCCGGGAGCTGGCAGAGTCGTACCAGGTGGTAACCAGAGATGACCTCATCAGTGACGTCAGCAGCCGGTTTCCCGAGGGTGAGGTGCAAACAGCATTGGAGCAGGGAGTTGCTAAGGAAGCGGCGGTGTTTATGGGTTCGTCTGTGGATGTGTTTTCGAGGTTTGTGTTTGAGCTGAGGTGCTTCACTCGCCCGCTGCTGGGCCGGTCACAACGAGCCACTGTGTTCTATGACCTTGGCTTGTCTGTCGCCCCGTGTCATGTGGATCTCTAGGGTTGGAGGTGGGAGTTGCTGGGTGATTTTTGTGGTTGTGGGTTCAGATACGGTAGGATCATTAGCTTATACCGGGAGGAAATATGGGGTGCCGTAAAATTGCAGCCATGCTGATTTGATTAGAGAATGGGGTTGGATGTGATACTTCAGCTCAAGCCTTAGGGTGAAAGGTTAGGAGGATTATTCTGAGACAGGGATATGCCTGAAGCTCTTCAGCTTTAGCTTGAAGGGCAAACCATATACGGTATACATACCGTAATTGCCTCAGTCAACACAAACCATGTCACCCACTTGTGCCTTTTATTGCGTAACATCCAGATGCATGATGAAATCTTCACTAAAAATAAAGTGTGGAAGGGTGTACAAAATTGCATAGCAGGCTGGTAGCTGCTCAATCTACTACAGCAGAATCTAGTAGGCCTGTTGCTGGCGAATCAAATGCAGGCACGCGTCAGACCAGGAACCCAGAGAGTCGCTTCTGTAGCTGCCAAGCCAACCGGTCACGCCACATGTAGCCACCTGCCAAACCCAGCAGGTGAGAAGTCAAATGACACGTGGCACACACAAGCAGCCACACTCACAGAAATGGCATGCGGTGAAGGCAGGCCTGAGAGTGTCCCACGAACAACGAAATTCACCCACTTGAGTGGCTAGATTGTGGGAGTGGAGGGGGGTGTGAGAGATGAGGGAAATGCGGGGGCGGTGGTAGGGGAGGGGAGGGAGTTGAAGGGTGGATGTGGGAGGGGGTGGGGACGAGGGGTCAGCGAGGGGAAAGTTGAGGTATTGGAGGGGGAAGGGGATGAGGGGTGAGTCGGAAAGCAGGGAACAGGGGTGGAGAGAGAGGGGGGGGGAATGGCGTGAGACAAGGGAGGTGAGGGTGGGCGTGAAGGAAGAGAACAAGAGTGGCAGCAGTGATATGAAGGGCGGGCTGGGGGGGTGAAGTTAGAGAGGGGGGAATGAGTGGAGAGCGGGGAAGCTGAGCGAAGAGCAGGGAATATGAGGGGAGAGCGGGGGGATGAGGGGAGAGCGGGGGGGGATGAGGGGAGAGCGGGGGGGATGAGGGGAGAGCGGGGGGGATGAAGGGAGAGCGGGGAGGATGGGGGGAGAGGAGGGGAATGAGGGGAGAGCGAGGGAAATGAAGGGAGAGCGGGGGAAACGAGGGGAGAGCGGGAATATGAGCGAGTAGGGAGGCTGACATATGCGTGACGTTTGTAGGCCGCGTCAAAATGAAGCGGAAGCGCGAGAAGGGAGGAAAGGAGGGGGGGAAAGAGGGGGGTTTGGGGGTGTAGGGGGGGGGGAGTGAGAGAGGGGGGGGGGGGGAGAGGAAAGGACGTGTCTAGGCTAGGTCACAGGGAGACAAGGGAGAGAAGGGGAAGCGGGAAAAGGGGGAAATGGGAGGGGAGAGGTGGGAGAGGGTGGGTGGGGGGGAGAAGGGGGGGAAAGGACGTTTTTTGGCTAGGTCACGGGGGGGAAAGGGAGAGACAAAATAGCGGGGAAATGGGAAGGGGGAGGGGATATCAAAGGGCGGCTGCTTCGCCTTTTACCTTCCGCCGATTCTCTCCGTCCTCAATCATATCCTTCCACCCGTGTATTCCTCCTTCTCTCCCCTCCACCCACCTCCCCGCCTCCTTTTTTACCGTCTTGCGTCCAGGGTACCATCGACGCGCACTAGAATCAGGATAATGAAGAGGAAAGAGGAAAGGGGAGGGGGAAGCGGAAAAGGGAAAGTTGCCGCTTCGCCCTTTCGCCAGTCCTCTCCATCCATTTCTCCATCTCCTACCCCCCACTCACCTACCGCCCTCTTTTTTCCCGTATAGCGTCCAGGATGCCGCTGACGCTCTGAGGTCGGCGAAACGCGCTGTATAATCGACGAAACGCGCTGTATAATCGACGAAACGCGCTACTTCACCGAAGCGTCCGAAATCGACGCTACTAATTCGTCCAGTTACGATTCCGTCCGCATCATGTAAATAAAAGCCAGATCTGGATCGCGCAACTTTCTTACCAATACTGCGACATACATATCTGATACAGCTAGCATGCCAACGGACGCCCGAAGCGACTTACAGTAAGTACCACCGAGAGAGAGTGAGCAACACTTGCTACAACAAAAATGCTGGTATGAAAAAGCTGTACTCAGAAAGACTACCGCGCTCAGATCTAACTTTACAAGAATCACATTACGACACGAACAAAGGTGAGCGGCGAAACAACTACTCAAAAGCAGATTAGGTGTGGCAGGTTCGGTAGTTTGAGGTTCGGGTGTTGATAATGCCGTGGTGGTTGTGCCAGCGTGTCAAAACACCCTTCATTCCTATTCGTTCACGTAAATCTTTTCTCATCCACCCACTGTTTTTCCTGCTGCCCACCCGAACTTCTCAGCACCACGCAGAAATCCCACGGCTAATCGAAGCCCCCCGCACCTCACGCCGAACTATAAGCTACCTACGCTGTACGATTTCCCGCAAAAAAAACTCATGCCCCAACAAAAAGATACGGCCACGTCAACGGCCTCCTAGAAGTTTCGAGCCCGCCCTTCTCCACTACTTTCAACGTACCTTCCCAACAGAAATACGCGCCGTTAACAAACTCGTTTGCATACGGACAATCAGACCAATATGCACATGTCTAACCAACTAATTTGTACTGTACAATGATTGGGTTGGGCTGGAGGGATAAGGCGGGAACACATTTTGAGCCACCTTGTTCACCACGCGCCCTCGGAGAATGTCCCTTGCCGCTAAGTCGGCAGGGGCATTCATTGGTCAATGACAATAGCCACCCAAACACCCCCGTCCCATCCCATGCCATCGCGAATCGTCACCGTTGAGGGTGGCTTGGCTACCGCCACCATCCACCCTTTCGTATCGCACCGCGCACCCAGCTTGGTGTCAGTATTTCCCTCCCGTCCCAGCCGCACAACTCGTCAGACCGTACTGCACCCAGGTAAACCACATTGAGCTATAACATTGGGGTTCAAGCCGCGGTAGGAGGCACCACGACGGCCGAATTTTTGATTTGAATTCAGTCATCCCATTCAGCAGCAGCACACTCATAGTTCTGTTTCAGGTTCTACCTTTTGCTACCTCTCTGAGCATAAGTATCCAAGTTGTGTCATTGTCGTCCGTTTTTCTTCCTTCTCAAACTCATTGTTAGAAAGCTCCAACCTAACGAGCTTACACTTCAGGCTACAAGCTCCACGGAGCAACCTATGCTACCTGAAGCCATTCGGTTACTAGTACACGGAGAAGCCCGCGGCACGCAGCAGCGCTGAGTCAGAATAGAGGTCGGGTGGGGTGGGTGGGTAGAGTCCGTGAGGGAGCGAGCTGCTGTGTGCCAAAGGCCGACCCGTGTACTACACCGAAAATCCGCGGAAACCTCATTTACCGCGAGAAATTTCATAATCGGAAGATCTATACGGCGAGTCGTCTCTAAAGTCGTCACGCCAGAAAACTTCCACGGCGAAATCTCCGCTCGAAGATCGCCACGGCATAAGAGCTTTTGTAGTGTTTCATGGCGCCTCTTCTGCTGGCGCCTCTTCTGCTGGAGCCACGTATGCCTCCGGTTGAGACTGAGACGCAAGCTAAGGGGTCTTTGCTCCAAGCTCGTCTCGGCAAGAGCTTCAAAGCGTTTCACGGCGCCTCCTGTCTTCAGAAGTCTTCACCAAAACGATGAGGACCCACCTGGTAAGTGTAATCTCGTTTTCGTTTTCCAAATTTCTCCTACATCCGTTTTTGTCTGGTTACGCTCTGAATCGCCGTTTTTTTTTTTTTCCCCCGTTTTTTTATGGATTTTTTTCTAACTTGTTCTTTGTTTTCCTGCAGAGGATGGATCTGAAGTTGAAGTTCGCGGGTAGCACTGGAACTAGCCGTCTCATCGCTGGCCCAAGGTGCTTCTAGTGCGGCCTCCTCCTCGCTGCATCCAAGACAAGTCCTCAGCACTTGAAGACGATCGACCTAGACAGAGACGGTCGAGTGGAGGTAAGCTCAACAATTATTAAACTTATTCCTTCGACCTCTTTTGACCAGTTAAGCTCCCAACTGTTCGACACCGTTAACCGTCTTTCTGCCATTCAGTTGACCTTTGCAATTTAGATTTTTCGTTAGAAAGGTTCTAACTCGTTTCTTGATTTATTTCAGACGATCTTCGTTCCGTTGTGGATCGCTGAGGACGCGAAGCTGAAGGATACAAAATCTCGCCAACACGAAGCACAACGCAAGACAAGATCGCGGAGCTTGGAGGATTCGCGGGAGGCTCTTCCGTCGCTGTCGCCACGAAGACGACCCCGAGAAAGTACAGCTTTTGAGTCTTGTTTCGACATTTGCCTGTTATTCTCTTTTCCTTTTATGTTTCTTCTACTAAGCTGTTGATTCTTCCTGCAGACTTCTTGGCAACTCGAAAGCGACGACGCAAAGACTTGATAGCGCCGACTTGATCGCCGACGGAGCCACGTTTGCCTCCGGTTGAGACGGAGACGCAAACTACGGCGAGATTTTCAAAAAGGGTTTTTGGCTCCAAGCTCGTCTCCGCAAGAGCTTCAGCTTCAAGAGCTTCAAAGTGTTTCACGGCGCCTCCCGTCTTCACCAGTCTTCACCAACACGATGAGGACCCACCCGGTAAATTTAATCTCGTTTCCCTTTTCAAGATTCTTCCCACAATGTTCTGAATCGCTCTGCATTTGTGTCATACGGGATTTTTTCTAACTCGTTCTGCAGACGATGGATCTGAAGTTGGACCTCAAGTCTTGAAGTTCGGAATCCATGCCAAGCGGGACGGGGAAAGAAGCTCAAATTGAAGCTCGGGGCCTTCCGTTCAATCATCTCAGTCGTCGCGACGCGCATGGCGCTTCGACATGCGCGGAGATGCACCAGGTAAGTGTTTATCCGATTTTATCCGTTTTTATCCGTTTTTCAACAGCTATTTGAATCTGTTTTTAAGAAACTCTTTAACTTGTTTCACTCTTTCTTTTGCAGGCGATCATCCTGTCGTTAGAAGACCCGGAGGACCTGAAGCCTGAAGTCTGAAGGACTTAAAGTCGCGGCGCCTCCCCTGCGGCCTCCCCCGTCGCGCCGCCAATACAATGGAGGTAAGCCTTTAAGAAACCTATAATCGATTTACAAGTGCAGTCGTTTTCTATCGTTTTTTTAACTCTTTATATGCCATCTCTTTTCCTGCTTTTTTTCCTTATACAATTTCAGTTTCCTGACGGCTTCTTGCATTTTTTCTGCAGACGCCAGCGTTGCACGGCGACGCACGGATGGCGACGAATGGCGCTTGGCTTCGACCGTCGCAGATGCAGAAAGGCATGCAGACGTACGGATGGCGCGTGTTTCGCGGGTGGATGGCGCGTCTTCCGAGCCGCTTGGCGGCGCATCTCTCAGCCGCGGGACTTCAAGCTCCGACTCCCTCACATGGTAAGGTGCAGTTTCGATTTCAATTCGTTTCTTTTCCCAGATTCTAACTTTATCCATTGTGTTCTTTTCTCTTAGCGCAGGACGAGCGGGAGCGGGAGCGGCGATGGCGGCAAAGGGGACTTCAAGCTACGCCGACTCCCTCACATGGTAAGGTGCAGTTTCGATTTCAATTCGTTTCTTTTTCCAGATTCTAACTTTATCCGTTGTGTGCTTTTCTCTTAGCGCAGGACGAGCGGGAGCGGGAGCAGCGCTGGCGGCAACGGGACTTCAAGCTACGCCGACTCCCTCACATGGTAAGGTGCAGTTTCGATTTAAATTCGTTTCATTTTCCAGATTCTAACTTTTTACGTTGTGTGCTTTTTCTCTTCGCAGGACGAGCGGGAGCGGGAGCGGCGCTGGCGGCAACGGCACTTCAAGCTACGCCGACTCCCTCACATGGTAAGGTGCAGTTTCGATTTTGATTCGTTTCCTTTTCCGAATTCTAACTTCATTCGTTGTGTGCTTTTCTCTTAACGCAGGACGGCCGGGAGCGGGAGGGGCGCTGGCGGCGACGGGACTTCAAGCTACGCCGACTCCCTCACATGGTAAGGTGCAGTTTCGATTTCAATTCGTTTCTTTTTCCAGATTCTAACTTTATCCGTTGTGTGCTTTTCTCTTAGCGCAGGACGAGCGGGAGCGGGAGCGGCGCTGGCGGCAACGGGACTTCAAGCTACGCCGACTCCCTCACATGGTAAGGTGCAGTTTCATTTTGATTCGTTTCTTTTTCCAGATTCTGACTTTATCCGTTGTGTGCTTTTCTCTTAGCGCAGGACGAGCGGGAGCGGGAGCGGCGATGGCGGCAACGGGACTTCAAGCTACGCCGACTCCCTCACATGGTAAGGTGCAGTTTCGATTTAAATTCGTTTCATTTTCCAGATTCTAACTTTTTACGTTGTGTGCTTTTTCTCTTCGCAGGACGAGCGGGAGCGGGAGCGGCGCTGGCGGCAACGGCACTTCAAGCTACGCCGACTCCCTCACATGGTAAGGTGCAGTTTCGATTTTGATTCGTTTCCTTTTCCGAATTCTAACTTCATTCGTTGTGTGCTTTTCTCTTAGCGCAGGACGAGCGGGAGCGGGAGCGGCGCTGGCGGCAACGGCACTTCAAGCTACGCCGACTCCCTCACATGGTAAGGTGCAGTTTCGATTTTGATTCGTTTCCTTTTCCGAATTCTAACTTCATTCGTTGTGTGCTTTTCTCTTAACGCAGGACGGCCGGGAGCTGGAGGGGCGCTGGCGGCGACGGGACTTCAAGCTACGCCGACTCCCTCACATGGTAAGGTGCAGTTTCGATTTCAATTCGTTTCCTTTTCCACATTCTAACTTTATCCGTTGTGTGCTTTTCTCTTTGCGCAGGACGGCCGGGAGCGGGAGCGGGAGCAAACGGCGCTGGCGGCGGCGAGGAGGGAGTTCAAGCTTCGCGGAGTGGTGTCGGGGGAAGCTGGAGCGTGGAGTCGCAGCGAGGAGCGAGGGGCTGAGGCTGGAGTCTGACTTCACCCTCCCTCCCGCCCGTTTTGCAGATTCGGCAAGAGCAAACAGGCGTGTATGTGGGTTGGGAGGTATGGTGGTGGGTACTGGACGTTTAGGAGCGTTAGGCGATTGCTAGGCACAACACGTGGGCGATAGTTTGGGTCAGGTGCGCTGGTTTTGGGTCAACCTGGCAACTCCTCCTGACAACAAAGGTGAATCGTCCGATCCGAGGTGTGTAACATGACGTTTAGGAGCGATCGTTCGATTAGGCACAATCACGTGGGCGATGGGATGGGTGGGATCAGGTGCGTTCAGGTATGTTTCTCTCTCTGACAACAACGGCGAATCGTCCGATCTGATCCGACGTGTTAATCTATTTATTCATCTGCCCGTGTTTCTAGTTTTGACCGTTTCCCCCCTCCCAGCAGGCCCCACGCGAATGACCCTCACCTCACCGTGGTGCTTGGGTGTAACGTCAGGGGCTTTTGCCTCTGACGGCCAAGAGGGGTCAAGAAGACTTGAAGACTTTCAAGCTGCTCCTGTGGAGCGCGCAAGTGCATCTGCTCACACTGAAGTCTTAGGGAGCTTAGAAGGCTTAGCATTAGGTTCTGAATTGTATCTAGTATTTTAATGGAATATCGCTAGTAGTTTTCACTGATGGTTCTGTAACTTTCCTCGATGCATAGTTGTTTATTAGAATATTAACTTTAGTATGAATAATACCTGGAGCCTTGGACAGAGTTCTGTCGTGAAACTTAGATCTCTCTGCACAAGCAAACACACGCATTCCGCATGCCGCGTCGCGTCACACACTCCTCTCTAGCCAAAGCACATCCGTCGCATGCCTTTAGTTCCTTGCGGTCCGCACATCCGTGTCGCAAAATGACTGATCCTTCGGAGAAAGAACCGGGCCGTGCAAGTTGGTCAGCGAGACATGGCGACGAAAATCGCTTCTGGTGCTGTCGCGAGGGATCGCACGAAACTCGGCATAGAGGGTCGACCTGATACTAGTGACGTAGGGGAGTGCTTCCTAATGCGCTGCGTATTGCATTGCCACTTGCGCTACCTACTCCCGCACTTCTGCCACCACTTCTTGGCCGTCGCGGGGACGTGGACGCTTTCACCGCGATCGCACACGGGCTTCGCCGGCGTCGCCGTCGTCGCAGCGGGGCGACCGTCGCAAGGCAGCGCGTTCGAGTGCGACGAGTCGCAGACCGCCATGCACTCAGCGTCAGTTCGATCCCTGTACTCCCCCTCTCCCCCTCTCCTCTCCGCCCTTCCCCGGGATGATCCTCATGGGGATCCCGTGTGGCAACCAATGGCGATTCGGAATCCCTTGTTCCTCCTCTTCCGGGGTCGTTGAGTCTACCTCTCACGTATCCGACTTTCTTGAACTTTCGTCCATGGATGTGCGCCTTCTCTCACTCTCACCTCCTCCGTTAAATCGCGTGAAATTCGTGTATTTGCGCCGGTTCGCACCTCCTCACGCGCTATCCAGCGCACGTCCCTCGTCCCTCCCCCCATGATCGCCTGCGCCCTCCACTAACAAACGCGCGCCTGCACCTGGTTCCCCCACTCCTTATCCCCAACGTCCCCCTACTCCCCCTCTCCCCCTCTCCCCCTGCTCCCCTTTCCCCCTCTCCCTTTTTCTCCTTCCCTCCTCTCCCCCTACTCCACCTTTCCCCCCATCCTCCGCCAGCCACTGCGCCATCCGCGCGGTACCTCGTCTCCACCTAGCTCCCCCTGTTCCCCCTTCCCCTCCCTCCCTCCTCTCCCCCCGCGTGTTTCCCCCCATCCTCCGCCAGCCGCGGCGCCATCCGCGCAGTGCCTGGCCATGGGGAATCGCTGGGAGCAGCTGAGTAAGGCGCGGCCCCACCTGGCGGAAGCCATGGCCCTGGCGCGCCACTGGGGGCGCACGCCCGTGCTGCCACGTGTGCGCAGCACCCGCATCGGCGGCAACAACCTGCCACGTGGCATGCTCTTCTCCCCGCGTGCGCGTTCAAAATTGTCACCTGGTGGAGGGGAGGGGGGCTGTGGAGGGGTTGGAAGGAAGAGGGGACGCGGAGCAGAGACGGGTTAATGCGGGTGCAAGGACGGTGCAAGGAGGGGCGTGCATGCGTGCGCTGGCCATTCATCGTTGCTTCTCAACCCCAGGCTCTTCCCCTCTCCATTCCATCCCAGCTGAGGTGCAGGGGAAGCTCCCAGTGCTCATGCACTTCTCTCACACCATGTGCCTGAGCCTCCTGCACCTGCTGGTGGGTGTGCGTGTGTGAGTGGGTAGGTATGCAAGTGCGAGTGGGTGCGGGAATGAGGGGAGAATGTATTGTGTACCTGGGGCGTTGGGTAGGATGTACGCTTCATCTGCTCCTCGTGTTTATTCATGCCAGACTCCCCTCGCCTTTCCTCATCACCTTTCCTTGTCATATCGCTCTGCGCCGTACCGACACCCCACAGCACCCCTCTCCACCCCTCCGTCTCTCCAGTCTCTCTGCATATTCTCTTCTCACGCCTGCTGGTCCGTTCCCTTCCCAAGCTCGTTCATGCTGTGCCAGGAACCTTCTCCCAAACCCTTGGTGTGTGGGGGGGTGGTGCTTGATGCTGGTGACCGTGACTCGGTGGGTGCTGTCCTATTGTCTGGGATGCGTGTGTGTGTGTGAGGTGTGCGTATGCTCGCCTGTCTGTGTGGCAGTTCCTGAAGTGCCTTATCATACCGTAGCAGGCAGCATCACAACCTTCCTCCCGATCTAATTCCGAACTCAAAATCTTGAGTCACTTCGTCCAGATTCCACACCAGCCCATGCTTATTCTGACAGGAGAGAGCCGAGTCTATCGGGTCAGAAGCATTGGCATTATTCGCTACAGCTTTGCCTCAAGATCCGTTCCCTACATGATCACCTCAGCAGGCCCATGCACATTGCATCATGGTTGATTCTGGATGGAAGTTACTGTAGATAGCTTCGATGCTTGGAGTCGCAGAGGGCAGGCAGGCATTGCATGGTTGCAGATTTGCTGGCGACAGGAAGATCTGTTACCTACATGGGTGCTGCCAGCATGCTATCAGCAATGAGGTGATGGAGTGGACTCGACTGGTCAGGATTTGCACATGGCACGTTGAAGTTGGTGGAACCACATGGGCTTTTGACGTGCCTGAAGTTTCTTGCACCTATCCACCCACACGACTGCTCTGTCTACCAGTAGTCACAAAAGCCTCACGCCCGAACGGACGAATTACAATGTGGTGGATTTGATTGATATTCGGTTTAATGCGGTGCAGAGCGGTACACTGATTTTGTGACGCCTAAAACGAAGACATGTCTTCGCACGAATGTAGTATCTCAGGCAGACTTATCCCCAATGCGGAACCTGCAACTGGCCGACGCGGCGCCCTGCGGTGACGGCGCGCGCAGCGCATCGAGCAATCCCCGCGCTTCCTCCCCGTCATCCGCCTCCCCTTTGTCGTCCGCACATTCCCCTTCCTCCCGTCACCTTCCCCCCGTTTCCCCGCCTTTCCCCGCGCCTCTGCGAGTCGACGCCTGGTCGCTCGTGCTCTCGCTGCTTCCCCCGCGCGATATCGCCTGCGCTGCGCTCGCGTGCTCCTCCCTCGCCGCTGCCGCCGCCGCCGTCACCGCCGCACGCGCCGCCGATGCGACGGGCGGCAGCGAGCCGCGTGCCGTCCCGTTCCTCGTGCCGCATCACGGTCTTCCCGCGGGGGCGGGGGGAACAGGGGTGGTGTGGAAGTCTGGGGGAACGGGAGCGGGGGGCGCACGGCCGCCTTCCGCCCCGCGGTATTCGTACTTCCGCTATTCGCGCGCGAACGTGCGGGTGACGTCAGACGAATCGTCCTTCCCCTCCTTGCTGCTTCATCTCCAAAATCGCCAGATCGCCAACCCACAGGGAACGTCGCCGCACGAAGGCCGCCCCGGATCGCTGCAGCACGAAGGCGGCGCGGGTCGATCCGCCGGGGCTCCGCCGATCACTCCGCCGATCGTTCCGCCGATCGTTCCGCCGTATCCATATCCGCAGCCTCCGTGGTGGTGGGGGGTGCTCCCGGATTATCTCAAGCGCGCGGATCGCGCGGATGATTCGAAGCGCGCGGAGCGGCAGCAGTTGACGCCATTTGACGTGGGGGGAGGAGAAGAGAGGCAGCAGCAGCGGAAATCTCTCCCCGGGGCGGGGGACGCGCATGATTTGCAGGGGGGCAGGCAGTCAGATGCGCGGAAGCGGAAGCGGAAGCGGGAAGGGGGGAGGGAAGGGGAGGGGGAAGCGGAGGCGGAATGGCAGGCGGAGCAGCGGGCGCTGGCGCGGCAGGCGCTGCAGCCGCACGCGCTCCAGGACGCGCTAACAAGCCTCCTCCCCGCGGCTTCACCCCATGCGTGGGGCGGGGACGGCGGAAGGCGCGCGGGGCCTGGCTGTGACTGCTGCACGCGCGGATACACGCGGGGGGAAGGGTTAGAGGCGGGGGAAGGAGACGAGAGGGGTAGGGCTGCTGTTGCGGCTGGCAGTGGGGCTGCAGCAGGTGAGCCTGAGGGTGGGGAGAGCGATTCCCGCTGTGGTGGTGGTGATGAGGGTGCTGCAAGTGGTGGTAAGGGTTCTTCTGCTGGCGGCAGTGGTGGCGGCAGTGGTGTTGGTAGCAGCCATAGCTGCTGCACCCGCGCGCGCTGCCCTTGTGCTGCGCCCCTGCAATCCAAGGCAAGGCGTGGGGAGCATGGGCGTGAGGGGGCAGGGCGAGAGGGAGGGATCCCGGGGGGAGAGCAGAAGGGGGATGGTCGCGGTGGGGGCGAGGGGGAAGGGGAAGGGGAAGCAGATGATGACATGAAGGCGGCAAGTGAGGATGATGTGGTGTTTGAGTGCGGGCCCTGGTGCTCCTGTGCCCAGCTGCCGCACCGCATGGCCTCACCTACAACCCCCCGCATAGCCACCTGCGAGGTCGAAACAGCATCAGCGGCAGCACCAGCGGCAGCAGCGGCAGTGGAAGGAGGAGCTACTCTCACCACTGCGTGTCCCACATGCCCCAACCGCAGCAGTCAGCGGGGCGTGCAGTGGGACTTGGCAGTGGTGTGGAGTGGTAGCAAGGGGTGGACGCTCGTGGCCCAGGAGAGAATTCCTCGCGGTGCCTTCATCTGCCAATACGCGGGTGAGGCTCTGTTGGAGTTCCCAGGGCTTGTGACAGGTGCATCTGCTCGGGCTGCTCAGCTTCTCTTGACCCTTTCAGGTCTTCTTGGAGTGCTTTGAGGCGCCAGCTGAGTGCGCCAGCTGAGTGCGCCAGCTGAGTGCGCCAGCTGAGTGCGCCAGCTGAGTGCGCCAGCTGAGTGCGCCAGCTGAGTGCACCAGCTGAGTGCGCCAGCTGAGTGCTTTGTATTCATCACACATGCAGTCACGGTTGTTGGGCTGAGATGCACGTGAGGGGGTGTATGCCTGCTGCTGCTGGTCTACTCCAGGCTTGTCAACGTATGCTTGCTGGCTTGAAGCATTTCCGGCTCTTTCACTCACCTGCCAGTACCCCTCTCTGCCCCCCTTCCTGCCTTTACCCACCTCTTTCCCCACCTTTTTTCCCCCCTCCATTCATCCTCCCATTTCTTCCTCCGTGTGGTGCAGGCGAGGTGGTGAGTGCAGGGGAAGCAAGTGCGAGGCAAGCTCTGTACGATGCTGCAGGCTTGCATGCAAGCGCACGTGCACAGGGAGAGAAGGAAGGTCAAGATGATCAAAGCCCACAGCAGCAGCAGCAGCAGCAGCAGCATGAAGAAAAGCAAGTGCAGAAACAGCAGCAGCAGGAGGAGCAGCAGGGAAAGAAGCGGCAGCAACAATCCCAATCCCAATTCCAACCCCCCCACCACCACCAGCACCGCGGCACACCCCACGACCGCATTCCACCGTCCCCCCGCCCCTCTCCACGCTTCCTCTTCACCCTACGAGAGCACCTTCCCTCCGGTGCAGTCCTGCGCACACAGATCGACCCCTCTCGCATCGGCTCCTTGGGTAGATTCATGAGCCACGAGTGCGGGGGTGGGAACGTGGCTCGCGTGGTGGTTCGGCAGGCAGGCTGCCTGCTGCCTGCTGTTGGACTTGTGGCTCAGAGGGAGGTTCGGGAAGGAGAGGAGCTTATGTTTAGCTACGGGGGTGTGGAGGAAGAGGGGGGAGAAGGGGAGGATGGTGTGGGAGAGGATTGGGATGGGGAGGGGATGAGGGAGGTGGAGGGGAGTGAGGGTGAGATTGCAGGAGGGGGTGATGGGGAGGGTGGGAGAAGGGAGTTTGAGGGGGGTGGGAGGGAAGAGTGTGCGAGGAGGGGTTGGGAGCAGCAGCAGCAGCGGTTGGTGAAGCGGAGCAAGTGTTGCTGTGGTTCAGTGCGGTGCAGCGGGTATCTGCCATATGATATGGTGTGACTTCAGCAAGATATAATGGTGTATACAAATGTGCTATGTTGATAAGCTGATGTATTATGAGATGTGGTTGTGTGTGCAATCCTTTGCCTCTCAATAGCCTCCGTGCTTTTCAGTCCATGTATAAATGAATGGATAGGGAACATCGGACATCCACACCGGAGTGTGTGGTGGTTACCAACCCTACCAAGCTCTGTTTGGATGTGCATAGCTTGTTCACAATGCCCAGTGTACAACACGACCCAGTAACAAAGCCATTACGCTACTGCAGGTAACCTGTAATTACACCCTTCCACACTAACACCATACTACCAATCCCTACAAATCCTTATCCTACTACCACTAACTCTCAACCAAACTGCCACCCGACCCAACCCACCCACTCAGCAAAGCCACATGCAGTAAGTAGGTAGCCTTATCCAGAATCATTCTCCTGGTCTCCCAGCATGACCATTACAGCCTTGCTTCCTCCCATTTATTGTGCTTTGAAAAAGAAAACACCACAAGACCTACATTATTTGACCCCCATAACCCCTCCACTGCACCCTTCACAGCACCCTCCACTTCTTCCTCCACCGCTCCCTCCACCGCTCCACCCCTCAACATGCCACCCCTCCACCCATCCATTCCTCCCTCCATAGTACTTCGCGCTCACCCCCTCCCCATTCCATCCTCTTTTTCCTCCCCTCCTCATTCCACACTAGACCAATGCCTGAACTTGCAGATCCCCTCGCCATCCTCTTGCTGGATCACCCTTTCAATCCTCCGCACTTCCAGCTTCTCACCACTCGTCCTTCCCCCCCTCCATTTCCACCTTCTCGCCCCTCACTCCACACTAGACCAGTGCCCGAACTTGCAGATCCCCCACCGGCCCTCCTGCCGCATCACCCTTCACATGCTACCAACCACTCCCCCCACAACTCTCCCCACCTCTTTCACTCCGCACTCCACGCTAGACCAGTGCCCGAACTTGCAGATGTTCCGCCTGCCCTCGTGCCATAACACCCTTCACATCCTCCCACCCTCCCCCATTCTCTCCTGCCCACCCTCTCCTCCCCCCTCACTCCACGCTAGACCAGTGCCGGAACTTGCAGATGCCCCGCCGGCCCTCACCAAAGGAGCCGCGCACAGACGTGAGCAGGGCGGCCACGTTGGGATCAGCCATTAGCTCGCTCTCCTCCTGGTGTAGGGGGGAGTAGTGGTGGGGTGGAAGAGTGGGGTGGAAGGGTGGAAAGGGTGTATTGCAGAGAGGCGTTTGCAATCAGGCAGAGACAGATGTGAGCAGGGCCGCCACGTTGGGATCAGCCATTAGCTCGCGGGGGGAAGAGGGGGAGGGAGAGGGGGAAGGAGATGCGGGGCGGAAGGGTGGAAGGGTGTGTTACGAAGAAACACTTTGGGATCAGGCACACTCAGATGTGAGCAGCGCGGCCACGTTGGGGTCAGCCATTAGCTCGCTCACCTCCGGGTGTAGAGGGAGGGAGTTGGGAAGGGAAAAGGGGGTTTGACAGAGAGATTTTTCAGAACCAGGCAAAGACAGATGTTAGCAGAGTCGCCACGTTGGGATCTGCCATTAGCTCGCTCGCCTCCTGGTGTAGGGGGATGGGAAGGGAATGGACAGGGAGGGGGAGAAGAGGGAGCAGAGAGAGCAAATGAAGGTGGGAGAGTGCACGGTGCACAGACAGACAAGCGCAGTGCAGCCGCCCATATACGGGTTAACCAATGGTCAAATGCGGATCGGTCACTGGCTTATTTGACTCCCAGTTAGTGGGGGGGAGAGCGGCCGAGGGGGTGAGGTTGAAGGGGGAGGGGGTGGAGGGACCTTATCAGTGGCTCAGCAGCCTGTCTGAAGCCTCAAAGAGGAATGATAGGCTGTCCATCTCAAGAGAGTAAAACCGCTCACTAGCTGGTTAAGGCAGGCCTCTAGACCCAAGAAGGCATCGGAGGAGGGGAAAGGCATCTGCTGAGAGGAAGAGCAGTAGGTAGGCTTTTGAGTCGAGCCAAATGTCATCTCGAGTTGACAACACTCACCAGCTGGTTGAGACGGTCCTCAAGGCCCGAGGAGGCATCGGAGGAGAGGAAGAGCAGCTGATAGGCCCGCCTCAAGTTGCGCACCTGGTGCGGTGTGGTGTGGTGTGATGCGGTGTGGTGTGGTGGTGGGGGGAGGAGAAGCGGCAGGGGAGGTGTTGAGGGGCGGGTTGGAAGGAGTGGATAAGAAGAGAGGGAAGTGTTACATGGGAGAGGAAGAGCAGCTGGCACGCCCGCCACACATTGCGCACCTGGTAGGGTGTCGTGCGGTGCGGTGTGTGTGTGGTGTGGTGTGGTGTGGTGTGGTGTGGTGTGGTGGTGGGGAAAGGAGACGGGGGCATGAGAGGTGTTGAGGGGCGGGGGGGGGAGAGGAGGGATGGATAAGAAGAGAGGGAAGTGTGACATGGGAGAGGAAGAGCAACTCATAGGCACGCCGCACATTGCGCATCTGGTAGGGTGAGGCGTCGCGGGGTGGTGGTGGTGATGGTGGGGAGGGGTATAGAGGAAAGCAGGGTGCGGGGAGGGTGGGGGAAGGGAGAGGGTGAATGGGCAAGGCGAGAAATCCATGTTACAACTGATTGACGACAGGCACGGGAATTTCATAATCATGAGCTTGGGCATGTGCATGTGCATGTGCATGTGCATGTGCATGTGCATGTGCATGTGCATGTGCATGCTCACCTGGTCAGTGGATAAGCTGCAGTGTCTGAGCCCTTCGAGGTGCCTGTCGACTCGAAAGTCACCACCCGCCCGTTGAAATGCTGTCCGCATCATCTCACCTGATCAGTGGAGAAGCCAGAGCGCCTGAGCCCCTCCAGGTTGAGCCCCCTCAGCTCCGCCCTGTCGCCTGCCACCATGGTGAACGTGGGCACGTCCCGCACCACCTGGAGAAAGGGAAAGGGAAACGAGGCAGGAGGCAGCGCAAGGTGAGGACTACGCGGGTGACGGCCTCTCTGCAGCGCAACTCAGCTCCGCCCTGTCGCCCGCTACCATGGTGAACGTGGGCACGTCGCGCACCACCTGGGGGGATGGGGGACGGAGAAAAGAGGATCAGGGGAACGAGGAGAGACGCCAGAGGCCTCCGCCCTGTCGCCTGCCACCATGGTGAACGCGAGAGCGTCCCGCACCACCTGGAGGAATGGAAGAAACGGGAGAGAGGAAAGAAAGAGGAACACGAGGCAATGCGAGGCCAGGACTGGACGGAAGAGGCTGATGATAGGGTAGCTTATGTGCTCCCGAGCAGTGAGCGTGGAGCATGGTCGGTGCTCTTAGCGAGCTGAGCTTGCGACTACTCCAGATTTTTCGCGCACACCCACACACGTACCATGGACCCTCCAGCAAGGAAGGAGTAGGAGCCGATGTGACAGAACTGATGCACTGCCACCGCCTGTTTCACTTCCGACCTTTCAATACACCATTGGTGCTCACACATAAACAATCTTCCCCCTCCCCACCGCCCGTCTCCCCCACACCCACGCACGTACCATGGATCCCCCAGCAAGGAAGGAGTAGGAGCCGATGTGGCAGAACTGATGCACTGCCACCGCGCCCCCTGTGTGCACGAAGTCCTGTGAGGAGGGGGGATGGGGGAGAAGGAGGGGAAGTGGCGCCACAGGCACGAGCGTAACAGGACTTTTGAGTTGACTTAAATCTCGGCAGTGCGAGCAGAATCCGGTGACAGGGGAAGGGAGAAGAGAAGAGCTGGGGAAAGAGATGGGGGATGGGATGGGAGAAGAGATGGGAGTAGGGGCGTGGCATATACACCTATATGTGCTGATGGCAGGTACTCCTGCACGCGAGTAAAGTTCCTGTTTTTTTTACTCTTGAGCCATTGCCCCCACGACGACACGCTTATACAATCACACGAACATACAACCATTCGCATGCATCCAATCACACACATGCACGCACTCACATGCAGCACGACGTGCCCTCCCAGAAGCGTGCCATTGGCGAGGATGTTGCGGTTACCCAGCTTGCAGTCATGTGCATCCAGTCACAACCACGCACTCACATGCAGCACGACATGCCCTCCCAGAAGCGTGCCATTGGCGAGGATGTTGCGGTTACCCAGCTTGCAGTCATGTGCCACATGGCATGACCCCATGATCAGATTGCGGTCCCCGATCACCTGATGTAGACAGGAGGGGGGAGACGAGCGGAGGGGCAGGGGGGAGGGGAGTTGCGAGAAGGGGAGAGGAAGAGGAGGAAGAGACCTTTGAGAGGCATGACCCCATGATCAGATTGCGGTCCCCGATCAGCTGATGTGCACAGGGGGGTGGGGAAGGGGAGGGAGGGAGGGTGTGAGAAGGAGAGTGGGAACGACCAGTGACGAGCACACCCATTGGCCGCCATTGGTCGCAGGTCACTGGTCACTGGTCACTGGTCGCTGGTCGCTGGTCGCTGGTCGCTGGTCGCTGGTCGCTGGTCGCTGGTCGCTGGTCGCTGGTCGCTGGTCGCTGGTCGCTGGTCGCTGGTCGCTGGTCGCTGGTCGCTGGTCACTGGTCACTGGTCACTGGTCGCAGGTCACAGGCAAGATGGCTCACAGTGGCATTATCGGGCATGGAGAGTTGAGGATCTGGGCGTGCGCTCTCACATGCCACTGAATGTAGAATGGCCTTGCTACACATGCACACATGCAGAAGCACATGCATCATGCCTGCATGCACCCACACTCACAGTGGCGTCATCTGGTTTGGAGGAGTGGTGGATCTGGGCGTGCTCCCGAAAGTCACTGTTATCTCGTTGTTAGTCATGGTGTGTAGAATGCACATGCTACACACGCACATGCATGCATGCATCATGCATGCACCCACAGCACACTCACAGTGGCGTCATCTGGCTTGGAGGAGCGGTGGATCTGGGCGTGCTCCCGAATGTCGTTGTGTGAGCCCAGCACCAGGAAGCACCCACTGCCCTCCTGCTCCATGGGTGGTGGGAGGGGAGAGGGGTGGGGAGGGGGAGAGGGCAACACACACATTCTTGAGAGTCAACTCAAAGGTCAGCTTGACTGTTGTTGTGTGAGCCCAGCACCAGGAAGCACCCACTGCCCTCCTGCTCCGAGGACAGATAGGAGAGGAGAGGGGCAGCACACCCACAAACACCGGCGAGAAGGGAACAGATCAACAAGCAGAGAATCACAATGAGCACGCGCATGCGCGCGCACACTCAGAGGGAGGGAGGAGGAGAGGGAGGCACTTGGGTTACAGCAAGCAGTGTTCTCTGCCTGTGATGGGTGGCGAGCAAAGTTAGCCAGCGGCTGGGAGCATGTGCTTCCCTCCTGTTAGGTGGGTTTAGACGAGCAAGGAGGGCGCAGACGAGTGGCAAGGAGGGCGTGGAGTAGCAATGAGAGGGGAGACACACACGAGTAGACAGGGGAGGAGGAGTGGCGGGGCACTTGGAGGGCGAGCGTCCTTGCGCACCTGATATTTGAGGTCCTGGCACTTGACGGCCACGGGGGGACCGACAGTCTCAAACATTGTGAGGCTCAAACAGGCACTCTTCTCATCACCCACCTGATATTTGAGGTCCTGGCACTTGACGCCCACAGTGGCATGGTATCCGATGCTGTTGTGACTGCCGATCACCGTGGTGCCTGGTAGGTCTGCTCCCACCACTGCCCCACTGGGAGCAAACACGGGAGGGTGCGGAGAAAAGAGCAGGGGAGGAGAGGAGAGAGAGGGAAGGAGACCAAGGAGAAGATGGGCAAAGGAACAGAAACAAAACAAAAACGAGATGGAAGAGTTGTGGAGCTTTGAGGTGCCAAGAGGTGGAAAACGCCTTAAAATGCAGGACACGGACCTTTGAGGTGTCTCACACGCCGAAACACAGCACATGGATCAGCACACAAAATGATACCATAGCCAGTTATAACATTTCTTTCTCACTTCCCCGCTCCCTCCTCCTTTTCCTCTCCCTCCCTTCCACCCACCCTTTCTCCCTCATTCTCGCTGGGCCCCCCCACCCCCTCCTTTTGCACCTTGACAGAAATCACTCTCTGTTCTGCTCACCTCATCAGCGTGCAAAACTCGCCAATCACTGTGTTCCCTGCCACGTGGCACCCGGGCAGCAGCTTGCAGCCCCTCCCTATAGTCACATGGGGGCCAACAGTGCAGAACGGCCCAATCTCCACACCCTGACCGTGCGATTGGTGGGGATTTGGAACAGACGCGGGGAAAGAGCGAAAACGGGAAGCGCCAAACGGAGACGGGAAAACGGGGAGGAGGTAAATTCGTCTGATTCTACCAACAATTTCTGCCCAATGACATAGTATTGAACCAATTTGGGACTAGTAGAATCACTAGCACCGCTCCTACTCATCCAAGTCTTCTTGCGCTATTCCTGTTGCTCTTCTGAGACTCCTAAGCTCCTGCACCTGCCTGGTGATTTTTATTATTTGTGTTTCGCTCAACTGACTTACCTCCCGGACCACAGCGTCAGGATGCACAACAGCGTTCGGATGGATCAGAGGAGGCGTGTCCGCTACAACCGCTCCGCCCGCAGTTTCGGCTATACCCGTTGCTGACCCTGCCACAGCCCCCGCCACCCCCGCCGCCCCTGATCCTCCCCCCGACCCTCCCCCCATCCGCGCAGCAGCTGCGGCTGCGGAAGCTGCGGACGACTGCGATGCGACAGGGCCTGTCGCACGCGCGGAAGAGGTCATCGCACGGCCCTGCTGCTGCGACTGCCGCAGCCACGCGCTCTGCGACGGTGCGAGGCGGAAATGCAGCGAATCGCGCGTCGCTGGGGGAGCACGGAAAGCGGAAGCACCCGCGGCGGCACGCGGGGAAGAACCGGCGGAAGAGAACGCGGCAAAACGGGCTGCTAGTGAGGCGGATTCGGAGGAAGAAGGGCTGCTGCACGGGAGACAGGCGCACGCAGAGCGCGCCATCTGCGCGAAACGCGCAAAATCGGGGGAAGCGAAATTAAAGAATGAATCGGGAAAGGGCATAGGCGCGGGCAGAAGGGGGAATCAAGAGGCAAGTCACGAAAGGCACGGGGAACGAAGTGTTGGAAGGGAAAAAGGACTACTTAAATTCTACAGCAGAACAATCAAATGACAAATTCCCTCAGCGTTAGTCGAAATGAGAATTCGCCTTACGATGGATATTCTCAGCTTGTTTCTGATTCAGTAATTAGAGTCGTTGCAGTTCTAAAAAACAAATGCCGTTGCGCCAATCAGCGATACTACCGAGCGGTTCGGGGCGGAGGACGGGGATCGGGATGGGGATCGCTGGGGATCGCAGAGGAGAGTCTGCGAGAGCCTACCTGCGATTGAAGCATCATTGCGACGGGCGACGATGACGAAGGCGACGGCTGCGACGCTGGTTGCGACGATGACAACAGTGGTGTTGATCTCCCGATGCTTTCAACACCGCCTCCACCTCCTCCCCCTCGTCCCTTTCTTTCTCCAAATCCTATCCCTCTTATACCTCCTAGGCTGAATCCGGCGGTGAATGTGCCTCTTATCGATGAAATTTGGATCTTTTCCCTGCTCCGATCCTGAAATCCGGGAAAATTTCCAGCCTTTTCAATCCCGTCGTCGCCGCTCTCAGCGCTTATCCTGGGAAAGAATTCGCGCCATGCGCCAAGCCGCTCGCGCTCCGGTCCTCCTGATCCTCTCTCCGGGGTAGAAAGAACCTCCCCTGATCCAAGGGACTCTACCGGGATTGTATTAAAGAAATGTCTCCCTTTGTCGCGCGATTGGCGGAATGCAGGAGCAGCAGGAGCCTCTGCGCAGCACCGCTTCGCAATATCGAGCCTTCGCGGGACGCGAACGAGCAGCAGCGCCGCAGCAAAGAGATTCTCGCGCATGCCCCTGAGGCGCGCCGGGACAAGAATGTCGACCCGACCCGCACGGTGAAAGCAACAGTGGCAGCAGCAGGCAGGCAAGCAAGCAGCCCAAGGCTCCTGTCAACTCAAAAAGTCACTCGAGTCGAAAGAGCTTTCGGATCTTGGCGAGTGACTGATGGAAAAGACCACCACGAGGGCGCAACTCCCGAGACTTTTCCTTCAGTCGCTCGCTTTGCACCACACTTCCGCGCGCCACTCAAGTTGGAAAATACAAGAGCGCGTATGAACATTTGAAAATTCCATTCCAACCAAGTTGCAAGGTGCGCGCGAGGAGGTTGGGTTGGGGGGGAAGAGGAACGGGGACTGTACATGCAGAGCAGAGTGAGGGCGGGGGCGGAGTAGTGGAATTTTCTCCCGCCTCCCCGTGCGAGCGAGAGTGGAGACCGGAAAATCTTGGGGCTTGGGCGCGTGCTGTAGGGGGAGTGGCGGAGGGCACCCTTGAGTTCTCCCGACAAAGAGTTGTCGCGTGAGCGATCCGACTGGCGTAGCAAGGTCAGGCAGGCGCAGATCGCGGGAGGGAGGGCGGAGCGGGAAAGGGCATTCGCTAATTGGTTCCGCTCTCTGTAGCCCTTCACGATTGGTTGTCCTGCGGATTACCATGCAGCGCGGCGCAAGCTATGATTCAGCAACACGTGGCACATACGAAGCGTTAATACAGATCAACTGTATCAAGCACACCGTTACACTAACATCATTATTCTGAGACACATACTAATCTATCATGATGGAAACAAGAAAAAGGCCTCCGAGAATTAAAGCCAAGGTATACAAGAGCATACTCAAACCTGGATTCTACATCAACAGTGCGCCTCAGCCTTTCTTGAAAAATGAGTTAGTAGTTGACCCACTTACACTCTCATCCGAAACAACCCCCTTCTCCTTTGAGCAGACACTCTCTCCAACAACAGCACCCTTCAGTATCCTCGTGTTATTGCTAGCCGTTGACTCCATAAGCACCTCCATTCCCCCTCTGCTCCCATGCGACCCACCACTCGTCACTCCACCCCTCACACCGCTTCCCCCGCCATTCCCCTTAGCACTTCCACCTCCGCTCCTCCCACTCCTGGCGGCACCACTGCCCATAGCAGGAGCACCAGCAGCAGCACCAGATCCCACACTAGGATGCGCCATAGCAAGCCCTCCTCCAACGCTCCGGTGCCCTTTGCTTCCCATGGCACTGACATCAGGAGAGCATGACCTCACAGGCACAATCTCCTCTGCCGCATTCCTCCCCCCTCCTGCTCCTCCTTTCCCTCCCTCCACATCCACCCTCACTCTCGCCCTGCTCCCTGCTTCACTACCCATAGGAGCCACAGTCAGCAGCCCATCAACCGCTGCCATAGGATCATTCTCTTCTAAACTCTCCCTCGCCCTCTCGTTCCCCTCCACGGCATTCTCTGCATGGAACCCCAAACTTGACGCTGTGCTCTCAGCAACCCGTATTGCCTTCTTCACTCGCTTCTGCTTCTTCTTCTTCTCCTTCTTCCCCGTCTCCCCAGTGTATTGACTGCTGCCATGGGTTGAATTGCTCCAAGTCTCTCCCAGGGAGCTTGTTTCCCCCATGCCCTCTGTGCCTGACGCAGACTGATGCTCCTTGGTTCTATCTGCAGCAACAGCTGCTGCGGCAGCTGCTGCAGCTGCTGTGGCTGCTGGTGCTGCTGATGAGGCAGACACTGACGCAGCAACAGCAGCAGGAGGAGGCGGAGGAGCAGGAGCAGGAGCATTCCCAAGCGCAGCAGGACGAGCAGACACACGAGAGGAGGTCCCACTGGCACCACCATCCCACGCAGCACTACCTCCCCCTCCAAACCCTTCCCTCCTCACATTCCCTGCCCTAGCTCGCCCATACGCCTCTGTGCCAGGGCTATCCAGCGACTGCCGCTGCTGCTCCTCTCGCTCCTGCTTTCTCTGCACCAACTGCGGCAGGTGTTCACTCGCTTGCCTCACTCCCTGCCCTGCAAAGCTAAAGTCCAGGGACGTGGCAAAAGGACTCTCACACATCTCGGGAACAGGCACAGGGAAGGCCCCCGGCGTGTTGTATACTGCTGCCGGGGTGCCTGCAGCTGCTGCTCCTGCAGGCATTCTCACTGCTGCTGCATGCATTCCCGTAGCACCTGCTGGGGTGGGAGTGATGAAACCTGCTCCTGGCAGTTTGCCTGCTGCTGCTGCTGCTTCTGCTGCTGCTGCTGCTAGGAGAGGGAGCTGTTCCAGGTGGGACAGACACGGGCAGCGGAGTCCCAGCTGCTGCTCCTGGCGTTTCCACAAGCACACGTGTTGCTGCAGCAGGAAGCACTGCTGGCGTACCTGCTGCTGCTGCTGAGGTGGCCGCTGCTACTGGCGTAGCTACTGCTACTGCTGCTGCAGCTGATGCTGCGAAAGTCACCCGTGCAGGGCCTTCAAGAGGCATAGATCCTGGACCTTGCCCCTCGGCAGTAACGGGAGGATCAGAGGTCGAGACAGAGTCAGACATAGGGACAGGGGCAGCAGCAGTTGGGAGAGAACCAGCAGAGGTAGCTGCAGCAGCAGAAACAGCAGGAGGAGCGGCAGATCCCACAGCAGAGGCAGCAGACATGACAGAGGACGATGTCGATAGCCCCTTGGCAAACACACCACCACCAGCACCAGAACCACCACCAGCAGCAGCAGCAGCAGCAGCAAGCGGATCGCGCAGCGCTGCTACGAGCAGACTTCACCTCCTCACCATCAACATTCTGCCCCACTGACTCCCTCAACGGATACTTGCTCCCACCAGCAGCAGGAACGCTGCATGCCGATGCTGTGCGAACTGCCTCAACCGTGCGAACATTGGCAGCACCGGGCTGGCCACCTGCATGTGCTGCTGCTCCGGATTTTGCTGCTGCGTGGAGAGCGGGAGACGCGGAGAGGGAGGGAGCAGGTAAGGGGGAGACGGGAGTGGGGCCGCCAGTGTGCCTCTCCTCATAGAGCGCCGCTGCTGCTGCCAGAATCCCGTCCACCACCTCCCGCCGGATCCCCGATATGCTTGGGCTCATTCCGTCAAACGGGTTGTTGCCCTCACCTACTGCTTCCCCTGCCATGCCCTGCGTTACTACAGGAGTAGCAGCCGCAGCAGAGGAGGCAGCTGCTGCAGCAGCAGAGGCAGCAGGGGAGGCAGAAGTAGCACCAGCAGCAGGAGATGCGCGAGCGGTGGCGGTGTGGGGAGGAGGAGGAGAGGTGGCGGCAGCAGGAGCAACAGCAGAAGAGGCAGAGGAGTCACGGAGGGCAGGAGGGATGAAATCCCTGGGTTGACTGCCACAGCTCCCTGTAGACCCTACACTCGCCCTCATCACCCACGGGTTACCCTCACCACCAGCTCCAGCACCAGCAGCGGCACCAGCGGAACCGGCAGCAACAGCAGCACCTGCTGCTGCAGCAGCACCACCAGCACCAGCACCAACCATACCATCTGCACTCCCTGGTACCGTACCCATCTCTTCTCCTGGCACGCCATCCCTCACATTCCCTCCCTTCACCTCCACACTCGCATCAGATGACCTCACTCCCCGCTTCCGCCCATCACCACCCCCGCATACCGCACTGCACGCCACAGCACCCCCCTCGTCCTCCATTTCGACAACCATCTGCCCGTCCCCACCTACCCCCATCCCAAGACACTCCCCAGTACTCCCCACCCCCTCCTCCACATCCTCTTTCCTCATCCCCTCCCCCTCCTCCACATCCTCTTTCCTCATCCCCTCCCCCTCCTCCTCCTTCTCCTGTCTCCCACTTCCCAAGCCTCCGCCAGAGGCTTGGCTCCAAACCTGGACGCTTCCAGCCCTCCCGCTCCTCCCACTCCCCACCCTCCCTTCCACGCTCGTCCCTCCTTCTCCCCCTACCCGTGTCCCCTCGTCCGTCTCTCCATCTGTCCCATCCTCACCCATCTTCACTTCAACTACCACTGCTCCACTCTCCCCCGTCCCTCCCATTCCTCCCTCCTCTGTCACCCTGCCTGCTTGACCGCCCTCTGATATCCCTACTCCAACACTCACACTCCCACCAGGGAAAGCAGCAGCAGGATTAAACGCCTCCTCCTCAGCTTTGTCGACAGACACAACAGCAGCAGCAGCAGCAGCAGCAGCTGTGGCAGCCAATGCTGCCGGCACTCCAGTCCCAGTACCAGCAGCACCAGCACCATCAGCACCAGCAGCGTTAGCAGCACCAGCACCGTCAGCAGCAGCAGCATCAGCAGCAGCAGCAGCCGCAGTCTTTTTCACACCAGTGAGCCCAAGAAGGGAGGCCCAGAGGGAAGGCTTGGCCTCAGGCCACCTGCTCTGCGCCACAGGGGGCACTGGCAGGGTGGAGCCTGCAGCAAACGAGCTCGCTTCCGATCCCTCTCTCTGCAGCTCTGCTGCCCCGTGCGATGCCTCTGCTCCTGCTGCTCCTGCTGCTCCTGCTCCTGATTTAGCAGCAGCAGCAGCAGCAGTGAATGCTGGTGGGACGTTATGTTGCCTGTCGACTGAGTATGCCCTAGGAGCGGCAGCAGCAGCAGCAGCAGCAGCAACACTGCCGGAATATGCCCCTCGTGAACCATCCACACTGCGTGACATAACAGGACTAACAGCCGGCAGAGGGCTATGGGAGCTCGCCCAGGGAGCAGGAGCAGAAGGCCCTTTCTCAGACCCACCCGCATTCATCAAACCAGGACTGTTAAACCCCACCCCACCCGCTCCTATCACCCCACCTGCTCCCACACTCCCCATCCTGTTCCCGGTACTATACGCGGCACTTAACCCGGCACTGCGCGAGACACTAAACACCCTGTGACTGAGCGGAGTAGACCCATTCGGACCGCCATTCGACCAACCCCAGGAGCCAGCCAGCGAGCTTATAGTGAGTCCGTCTGTATGGGAGCCCGTAGCCCAGTCAGTAAAAGAAACCCCCGTGCTAGCCTCGCTCCCATTCGCGTTGCTGGTGTTGATGGTGTTGCTTCGAAGCACATCCTCCTGGTTACCAGTGGTGGCGGTAGCAGTGGTGGTGGCGGTAGCAGTGGTGGTGGTGGTGATGGTGGTGGGTAGGCTGTTGTGCGTGAGAGCACTAGCCATGCTCGTTCTGCTAGCAGACGCTGTGAGGGTGCCTGTGCCTGCTGCGACACTAGGGGATGATGTATATGTGCTCGCACGTTCCGTCCTGTAGCCCTCCTCTGATGCTCCTCCTGCTCCGCTTCCTCCTCCTGCTACCGCAAATATTCCCACAGCAGTAGCAGCAGCAGCAGTGCCGGCAACAGCGGCGCCGGCAGCAACAGCCGCACCAGAACTATCAGCCGGTACAGTCATTGCTTCGCTCGCCTCTCCCCCTCCCTGGCCCTCCACCCCTTCAGCACTTTCATACCCTTCTCCACCTCCCTGCACCCCTGCCTCTTCCTCTCCCACCCCTCCCGCCCCTCCCACCCCTCCCGCCCCTCCCGCCCCTCCCGCCCCTCCCGCCCCTCCCATCCCGCCCTCCCCGTCCCCACCGCTGCTCCCATGACTAATTTCCACCGCACACCCATCATTAGCCACAAGCGATTGCTTCCCCATCTCCTCCACCTCACCCCCTCTTTCCTCGTCCTTCGCCCTCCTGCCCCCACACCCCAGCCACGGACGCACAGCCACAGGCAGCAGCAACCCAAACCCCTGCCACACAGCCTTCAGCCCTTCCCAGAACTGAGCTACCGCAGAGGGTATGGAAGAGCACGCGTTGGGGGAGGAGGAGGAGGCGGGGAGGGAGTAGGAAGGGGAGAAAGCCTTGGGAGAAGTTGCCGGGCCAGCAGTCAGAAGCTTCCTCGATCGAACCCCCACCACTCCTGCTCCTCCTCCTCCTCCCGCTCCTGCTACTCCTCCTGTTGCTCCTCCTCTTGACGTCGCAAGTGCCTTACCAGGGGACAGCGCCCTAACCTGCTCCACAATCCCATACCAGAAGGTCATAGTCTGTGCAGCCGCAGTGGCAGCAAGCAGTGACACCATGGCGATATCCCAGGAAGAACCGGGCTGGCACACGGTGGGGTTTGCAGATGGGTCTAGAGAGATGAAAGCGAGGGCGAGGGAGAGCAGGGCGATGTAGGCCGCGTGAGAGAGCGACTCTGTGGCGAGGATGAGACGGGAGATGAAGGGGCGGACGAGTAGGAGGAAGAGGAGGTGCAGCGAGGAGAGCACGAGGACGGCGACGACCTGCGGTGGGGGGCGGAGAAGGTAGAGGAGGGGAAAGAGGTGGGAGGATGGGACGGGGATGTAATTTGAGTTGACTAGGAAGTGCAGAGAGGACAGGACGACGAGGGCTATGACCAGTGGGGACGGGGAAGGGGTCGGGGGGAGGGGGGGGGGGGGGGGGGGGGGGGAAGGGGGGAGGGGGAAAAGGGGTGGAACCCTGAAACTTTTTGAACCGCTCTTGCCTCGAAGCCGCTCTTACTCTACATCGCTCTGCCATCCCATAACCTCTCTGTTGCAAAGACCCGGGAACGCTCTCAACGGCCCTGAAACCCAAACCCAAACCCAAACCCAAACCCAAACCCAAACCCAAACCCAAACCCAAACCCAAACCCAAACCCAAACCCAACCACTTTACAAACCTGGGCAGAGGCAGCGTGCGGGGAGGAGCGCAGGGGGAAGGCGCCCAGCAGCGCGCCGAGCGCAACGCGGTGGGAGAGGTCCGCGAGCAGGTGCAGCGTGCGCAGACGCCCCTTGGCTCGTGACACCGTGGAGGGGCGCGCTGGCGCGGCGGAAGAGAACCAAGGAGCTGTGGCTGGGGCTGTGGGAGAGTCGGTTATGACGACCTGGTGAGTTGGGGGAGGGGAGACGAAGGGGAGTAAGGGACGAGGGCGTGAGGGAGGGAGGGTTGCAAGGAGCTGAGAATAAAGGACAATTAGTCTGCGCCAAGGCGTGCATACGGGACACGTGTGCCTGCATAAAGGCCACCCCGCACTACCTCTCACATGTTCTGACAACCTCTCTTAAACTAGGCTTCACCCCCAGCACCCCACCCACCTGGCGCATGGAAGCACCATCGCGGACCAGCCTCACTCGTGCCACCTGCATCGTCTTCCCCATCATACCCCCCACACACCCCGCCACAGACGCTCCTCCCCCCATCCCCATGCCCCTACCAACCACCATCTCCCCTCCTCCCGACCACTCCCCACCCCGCCAACCCCCTCCCTCCTCCCCCTCCCCCTCCTCCACTTTCTCCTCTACCGTCTTCTGCCACCACCTCCCCACCGCCGGCACCCCTCTCCGCGTCTCCACCAGAGGCCCCCACTTAGCTAAGTGTTCAGCACCAGGATTCTCCACAATCCCAGCAAGGCCTTTGCTGGTGCTGAGAATGAGGCTGCTGCTGGTGCTGGGGTGCGGGGAGGGCCGCCAGGAGGCTGAGAGAGAGCGACCCAGGAGCAGGTTGAGCAAGCGGGAGAGGAGGTGCTGTGAGGGAGGAGGGGAGGAGTGGCTGGAAAGGGGCTTGGTGTCCCGCTCCTGTTTGGGGAAGGTCGGAAGAGAGGGAGAGTGGGAGAGGAAAAAGAGGAAAAGAGGGAAAGAGGGAAATTTGATGAGTTGATGAGAAGAGGGAAATTTGATGAGGGAGTGAGGCTGCTGCTGGTGCTGGGGTGCGGGGAGGGGCGCCAGGAGGCTGAGAGCGGAGGGAGGAGGTTGAGCAAGCGAGAGAGAAGGTGCTGTGAGGGAGGAGGGGAGGAGTGATGGGAAGAGGCCTTGGTGTCTCGCTCCTGTTCGAAGGGAGGTGGGAAAGAGAGGGAGAGTGGAAGAGAGGGAAAGGAAGAGGAGGAAAAGTGGGCAATCTGATGAGTTGACCCAGCGAATACTTGCATCGTACCTCATACAGATCAGGAAATATGCTAAAGATGATGTATTTTCAGGTAAGAATCCTTTCATCCTATCGTACCTCGTAGACAATGAGGGGGCGCCCTGCATTGGCAAAGATGCCAATGACGAAGCGAAGAGCGGCGAGCAGGAGAGCAGCGAGCAGCAAGAGCAGCACCACTGCCCCTACTAGCTGCCCTGCTGCCGTGCCTGCACGGAGGAGGGCGGAGAGAGGGGAGGAGGAGGAGGGAAAAGGGGAGGAAGAGGCGGGAAGAGGAAACGAGAGGAGTCACTTGAGGCGCCTCAGTGAGGGTTGGCAGCGGAATGGCAAGGGGGGGTTGGCAGGGGGTGTAGAGCTCACCTTGGAAGAGAGTAGCCATGGAATAGGAGAGCGCGGGCAGCAGAAACACCCCCCTAGCACTGCTTCCGCCGGGGAAAGGAAAAACACGAGCAGCCTTGTGAAATGGCGGAAGGATGAAGGCAGGAGGGGGGGGGTGGCAGTGTGGAGGGTGGCAGGGCGGGGTTAATCTCACCTTGGAAGAGAGTAGCCATGGAAAAGGAGAGCGCGGGCAGCAGAAACACCCCCAGCACGACCTCTGGGCGCGGGAACGAGAGCAGATGCGCGGAGAGAGGCGCGGGGGACGGGGACTGCGCGGGGGAGGAGGCGCAGGGGGGCGGGGAGGCGAAAGAGGCGCGTCTAGAAGCGGGGGAAGCGCTGTTGCGCTTCTTTGGGGGGGAAGGGGAGGAGCAGAGGCCTGGGCTGGAGTGGGCAGAGGCGGGGGAGCGCGAATGGCGGGAGTAGGGCGAGGGGAAGGCGTACGGCGAGCGGAGGTAGGGCAGCGGAGTGCTTGGGGGAGGGGAGGAGAACGCGGGGGGTGTGGCGGAGTGGGGCGCGGAGGAGGGAGAAGAGGAGGAGGAGGAGGAGGAGGAGAGGGAAGAGGAAGGCTTGGGGAGGAGGAGGAGGGAGATGAGGTGGAGGAGGATGAAGGAGGAGATGAGAATGGCTGTCCAGAAGAGGATTTCCATGGCCTTGGTCCATCTGACAAAGGGGTGGGAGGGAGGGGATGGTAGAGGAGAGGACGAGAGGGGAGGGGGGAGGAGGGGAGAGGAGGGGAGGGGGAGGGGAGCGGAGAGGAGGGGAGGGGCAGGTGTGAGAAAAAGAGAGTGAACGGAATTCAGAAAGACAACAAGGCCACCCCAAACGTGGTACGGGTGGGGAGCTAGGGAGCTAGACATGATAGGAGAAACAGAAGCAACAACATGAACAGCAGCAGCTGAAGCATACTTACAAAAGGATCACCTCCATGAGAGAGAGAAAGAGAGGGAGTGCTGAACCCGCGGGATTGCTTCGCAACTTAGGAGCCAAGGTGCGAACCTCAGTAGGTGACTAGGTAGGGAAGGTTACGGGCAGTCTCACCTAGGCTCCTCTTGCTCATGCTTGTACCTGTGTTCTACATTAATGAAAGGACCATTCGAGAGAGCGAGCGCCTTACATGAGCTCGCTGTGGGCCTCGGAAGCAGCCTCGTCCCAATACGAAGCAGCGCCCGCAGCAACCGCTTCAAGCTCCTGATCATGCCATTGAAAAACCAGGCGGGTGCAGGGGGGATGAACGGACGAACGGAGGGGAGGGGTGAGAGAAGGTTGAGGTAGGAGGTGGAGAAATGGGGGGGCGGGGGTGGGGCAAAGTGGGCGAGGTTGCGCTTTGAGTGGTCACTGCTGATCATGCCTGTCTTACAGTGCCATAACTGCTGCAAAACGCCTCCCAAAACGCCTCTCAAACCGCTCTCTCCACCGTACCTTTTGAAGGTCTCTGTATTCCGTGGTCGTAAGGTAACTGGTGTCTGGTTTCCTCTCCTCGGTATCGTCACTACTTCCGTTCTTCTCGTCTCCATCTGTCTCGTTCAGAGACCCTTTTCTGTTATCCCTGCTGCCCTCTCTCACAGCAACAACGCCCCTTTTCCTATCGCTAACGCTATCGCCACCAGCAGCACCACCAGCAGCACCACCACCATCGCCACTACCACTGACAACAGCGGGCGCAGGCACGCCTTGCTCCCCCTCCCCTTCTCTCTCCTCTCCATCCTCTCCCTCCTCATACGCGTCTTCAACCTCCTCCCTGTCCCATTCCCCCTCTTCGTTCCCTGCAATCACGGCATCTGCTTCTGCTACCCCGTTGGCAGGAATTTGCTGAGCTGAAGCTTGTTTCACAACAGCAGCAGGAGCAACAGCACGAACAGCAGGGGTATGAGCGGCACTGAAAGCACGTGCATGAGCAGCAGCAGCAGAGGCAGCAGCAGCAGCAGCAGCAGCAGTAGGGCCTGGGGCAACATCCGAGGAAGCTGCACGTGCATGAACCACACCAACAGCCGACCCATGCACATTGCCATTCTTCGGAGCAACACCGCTGTTCCCCTCTGCCGTTTCTGCACGTGCTAGCAGGAGGAACATCTCATTAGTATCGCCTTCAAAACCACCACCACCGATACCCCCTGATGGCCGTTTGGCACCCCTCCCCTTCATGTAATGCGGTACCAAGTCCGACCCAACCGATTCGCCTCCTAAGTCACGTCTCACCAGATCACTTGTATCACTTGCATCGCTCACATCACCTCTGAAACCGCCTCTCACATCGCTCATGTAGCTCTGACGGTCCCCAATCGGTCCGCCTTCGTCACTATCTGTGCTCTCCCTTCCCAGCAGTCTCCTGTTGTGCGGGCTTCGAGCAGGGGAGGTGTTATCTGCATGACTCGACTCACTCGCGTATGTTGCTTCGCCAATACGGACAGTCACAGGGAGCGGTGAGGAGGGAGACGAGGAGGAAGCTAAAAGCGGGGGGGATTCAGAGGTGTTGACTGCGATACTCTGAGCTTCAACAGCCGCTGCTGCTGCTCCTGCTCCTGCTGCTGCTCCTGCTCCTGCTCCCACCTCTGCTCCTGTTTTTGGAATCTGCATAGCCGGCCCACCTACCTCCCCAAAGCCACCAGCAGCAGCATAGGGAGCAGGAGTCTGCAGCATGTGCGGGTTGAGATCTTGGGACCAGGGCAGCTTGGCGGAGGGTACGATCCAGAGCAGGTTCTGTGCCGCTTGGGAGAAGGTGAGTGGGAGATCCGTGGCGAGCGAGGAGGAGAGCGCCATGGCCTGTAGGTGAAACACCATGTTCTGTGGAGGGACGGGAGAGGGAGCGGGGAGAGCAGGATCGACGGTTTTCGAGTCAAAGTCGACGACCCGTGGCGGGGGAGGAGAGGGCCATTGCTTGCAGGTGAAACACCAGGGAGAGAAGGGCAGCAGCGGCGGCGGAGGTGCTTTTGAGATTGTCAGAAGCGACCCACCAAAAGACAGCACAGCACAGTAGACTGCAAGCTTCAATCAACCCCTCAAGTACACACACACACGCACAGACTCACCAGGAGACTGCGCGAGGGCACGGCGAGCAGGGCAGCAGAGGCGGCGGAGGTGGCAGAGGCAGCATGGCCCGAGAGGGCGAGGGCGGAGGAGGAGAGCGAGAGCAGTGCCGAGGCGGCCATAGAGAGAGACGCTGCTGCTGTTGTCACTCCCGATACCACCGACGCTGCTGCTGGCGACTCGTCTGTGGGTTAAGAGGGGAGAGGGAGAAAGGGGGTATGGAGTTGGGGAGGGATGGAGGAGTTTTGAGAGGTCCCAAAACTCGAGGTGGGGAGGGATGGAGGAGGGGAGGGAGGGATGGAATGCAGACATTGTCACATGCAATGTGCCACATGCTATGCACCACCCGCAATGTGCCACGTCCACTGCACGAAAGTAAGCGTGTTGAAGGGCTGCTCGTTGCTGCGGTTGAGCTCTGAGTCACCTCACACCATGCCCACCCACACTCAACAATCCACTACCACGACTGAAGAATCCACAACCCACCACCCCTCCTGTCACATACACTGCACGAAGGTAAGCGTGTTGGAGGGCTGCTCGTTGCTGCGGTTGGGTTTCAGGACACAGCACACCATGCCCACCCAGATACAACAAGCCACCACTCTTCCTGCCACGTACACTGCACGAAGGTGAGCGTGTTGGACGGCTGCTCGTTGCTGCGGTTGCCCGGGCCCTGCAGCGCCCCAGCCGGCACATGGATAGTCGCTGCCTCGCCTGCTGCGCGCGGTTGGATGCTCACCACATACTCCAACAGCGACCGCTGGTAGATGCTGGTGAGGGGGAGCACACGAGAGGGAGCGGGCGAGAGGGAAGGGGGTTCAGGTTTTAGGGTCTAGGGAAGGCTGGGAAGGCGTATGCTGTGTACATATGCTGCGTTAGCAGCTCCATCCTCTGCTGCGCTGGGTTGCTACCTCCCACCCTTCCCGTGAGCCCAGCCCACGATCCCCCACCCTCGCACACACGTGCCACTGAACTCGCCCACTCACCCGACCACAGCAGCGCCAGCCACCCGCACACTCGCAGCAGTGAATGCGCGCACTGGCACTGTCAGCGCTACTGGTGCTATCCCCTCCTCCTCCTCCTCGTCCTCCTCCTCCTCCACTCCCCATGGGTACTACTACCCACCACAGCAGCCCCCACCCCCTCACGCATGTCCCAGTGAGCTCATTCAATACTCACCCGACCACAGCAGCGCCCGCCAGGTTCAAACTCGTGGCAGCGAATGCGCGCACTGGCACTGCAACACCACCACAAGCACCTGCTACCTCCCAAGGTGCTGCCCCCCAAAGGTGCCGCGAGTGCGGCAAAGGTGCCGCCCCCCAAAGGTGCTCCCTCCTCCCCCGCGCACGTCCCGGCCTCGCCTACTCACCCGACCACAGCAGCGCCCGCCAGGTTCAAACTCGCAGCGGTGAATGCGCGCACTGGCGCCGTCAGCGCCACCAGCACGCCCGCCACTGCTTCCCCCCAAAGGTGCCGCCCCACGCACGTCCCAACCATTCCTTACTCACCCAACAACAGCTGCGCCCGTCACACGCACACTCGCAGCGGTAAATGCGCGCACTGGCGCCGTCAGCGCGACCAGCACGCCCGCTACTGCTTCCCCCATGGGCGCAACGAGCACGTGCGAGGGGGAGAGTGATGTGAGCTGCGCGGCCAGGGGCGCGGGGGCTGTGAGGGGGGAGAGAGGAGGGTTGAGGGGAGGTGGGGCGGGGGCGACAGGAGAGAAGGGAGGGCAAGGATTGTTGGGAGGGGATGGGATTTGATGTGAGGGAGGGGAAGAAGGGGAGGGGATGGGAGGGACGGGAGGGAAGGGGACTGGGGAGGATACACGCATGGAAAAAAGTTGAAAGAGACGCAAGGGAGGGAAGGAGGGGGGTTCAGCAGCAGAGGGGAGCAGGAGGCAGCAGAAGAATACCATAGAGGATGAACCCGGGCGAGGAGGCATGGCTGACCGCCCCGTATTCATTGGTGAGGGCAGCCTCAGGCAGGGCGAGAGACACGAGCGAGAGGGCTCCAGTGGGAGTCACCTGCGGGTGAGAATGGAGGGAATCAACGAGGGAGCAAATGGGTAAATGCCTTTTGTCTCAGGAATGGGCGAGGGAGAAGGGAAGGGGCCACCTCTCACCCCACTCTCTCTCCTGCTGCTCAGCAATCCCAACCACCCATACACGAAGCTTCGCCATTCTAATCGCCGCAGTCCACTCAACCCTTCCCCCCCACCTTTCCAGTTTCTAAAACGTCTCAGAACTCACCCACACGCGGAGCTTCTTCCTGCTGATCGCCTCAACGCGCTCTATCCTCCCCCCCGCACCACGCCTGCACCCCTCACCGCCGCCTCCAGCCCATCCGCCGCGGTCTGCAGCCGCACCAGGAACCGCACGTCGGAGGGGTGCAGAGCGGTGTAGAGCGGCCGCGGCTTCCCGTGGAAGAAGAGGGGCGTAGGGTCCAGGTCGGGGGTGATTCGCACCTTGAGCTCGCGCTGGTCTGCTCAGCTCACGGGGGAGGGAGGAGGGTGAGGGAGGGAGGAGGGTGTGGGAGGGAGGAGGGTGTGGGAGGGAGGAGGGTGGGGATAGGGTTGTTGAGGCGCCTCAAAGGGCAGGTCGGGGGTGATTCGCACCTTGAGCTCGCGCTGGTCTGCTCGGGGTGTGTGGGGGAGCGAAGAGGAGGGGGAGAGAAAGGTCAGGGAGAGGGGGGGGCAGAAAAAGGGGCGTGGGGGCGTGGGAGAGGAGGGAAGGAAGGAGGGAAGGAAGGAAGGGATGGGGGAAGAGGTGGTTGTAAGTAGGAGCGAGGGAAGACCGTACATGAAGCATGAAGCGATGTGGAAGCCGTAAGGAAGAAGTGGTGCTGGTATGGCACATCATGCATGTTACCACAAGTGGCAACGAGGCCCCTCCCTACACACACTCAGCCCTTCACTTCTGCTCCACACACACTCCCTCCACACCCACCGTATCGGAACTTGAGAGAGGCAGAAGAGCACGACTCCACAAACTGCTCCTCCCCACCCTCCTCCACCGCCGCTACTCCCCCCTCCCCCTCCGCTTGCGCCTCTCCACTCCCCCCTCCTCCGCCGCCGCCTCCTCCCGTCCCATTCACGCCCGGCCTCAGGCTGATTGGAACCAACCCCGTGTCGGCAATCCGGATACTGCGACTGCCCCCACCACTCGCACCCTCACCACCACCACCACCAGCAGCAGCAGCAGCACCAGCAGCACCAGCACCAGCAGCACCGCCAGCATTAGCGTCACCATCGGTGACTTGTCCCAGGGTCGCGCGCACCCTACATGCCTCTCGGGGCATGCGAACTATCACGCGGCCGTACTTGGCTGTGAACGCCACACGTGCTGTGTACCGCAGCCCCGGCACCACCTCCTGGAAACTCCCCGGGACCACCTCTGCAGGGCCCCGAACCACGATCTGCACAAGTGGGCAAGGCAGGGGAACAAGGGAGGGAGGGAGGGAGGGAGTGTGGGAGGGGCGCCTTTTGAAAGAGTCAATGCGGGAGGGGGGCAAGGGAAAGTGTGTAGTTTACGGCAAAGGCGGAATGTGTGGAGAGGGAGGGGTGGGAAAGGAGGGAGAGAGGTTGTTGGAGGAGCAGGAGAGGCCAAGGCATAGGCGCGAGAGGTTGAGCAGGATGCACGGGAAAGAAGGTTGGGGGGGGGGATGGTGGACGGTGGGAGAGAGGCGCAGCACTCCTCACCCACCCCTCTTCCGCCCACACCCCTTTCCGCCCACACCCCTTTCCGCCCACACCCCTTTCCGCCCACACCCCTTTCCGCCCACATCCCTCTTCCGCCCACAGTGCGCTCACCGAGCAATTGTTTCCCGACGAGCAGAAGAGCCCGAGGCAGGGGCGCGAGAGGTGGAGCATGATTTGCGTGGAGGCGTTGAGGCTGGTCGGGGGGATGGCCGTGATCTCCGCAGGTACCACGCACGACGGGTCTGAACGCGCAGAACGAGCGGGGTAGGGGCGAGAGCGGGAGCAAGGGCAGGGGCAGCGGCAGCGGCAGGAGGAGAGGCATTGCTGTGAGCAGACTCAAATAGCGGTGATCTCCGCAATACGGTGAAACGTCTCATAAGGTACCAGGCACGACGGGTCTGAACGAGCAGTACACATAAGGGTAGAGTGGGGGGCCTGGGGGGACAAGGGCAAGAAGGGAATCTGCGTGTACATTTCAAAGGTAGAAGATCCGCAGGTGTTGGGTGCGAGGAATTGGACAGCACGTAAGGGCATGGGGGAAGAGCTAAGGGGAGATGCAGGGAGGGGGCTGCGGGAGGAGGGTGGGAACGGGGGGGAAAAGAAGCAAGAATATACCACAGAGCGTAGTAATCAGGAAACTAAAAAAAAATCAACAGAAGCGGGCCCGGAGCAAAAAGCATGGGTTTTGGCCGTGGAAGAAAGGCCGGGCCAGGGGCGGGGGCAGGGGCGGGGGTGGGGGCGAGGGTGGGGGTGGGGGGCGGGAGCGTGCCAGGCATAAAGACTAGGGGGTGGGGGGTGCCCGGTCAGGAGGGTTCATTGAATACGAGACGGCTCGAGCTGTCGCGTGCGACGTATGTGACGGGAAAGTCTCACCTGCGACGAACGTGTGCGACGCGGTCGCACTGACAGCAGCAGCAGGGGAGAGTGCAGCAGCCGCGCCGCTGGCAGAGTTCCCCCGGAGCGCGGGGGCCGGCGCAGTGGCGCGCACGCGGAAGGTGTGTTCCCCCGACTCGAGCGCGGAGTAGCGCTTGTGGCCCTTGTTACACGGGGTGGCGGGTTTGCCATCAAGCTGCGACCACACGCGCGGCGGGAGGGAAGGAGAAAAGAGAAATGGACCGTTTGAGATTAGACGGACGGGCGGGCGGACGGACGGATGGAAGGAAGATTGGTGGTGGGTGAACACTAGGGGTTTGGGTTGAGCATCAGTGCAGCCATGCGCACATTCAGAACCAGAGAGAGTGCCTCATATATGATTCGCAGGGAGCATGGGGGGCTCAAGATGGATCGCAGGTGGGACACAGCCGGACCGCAGCGTTGCACAGACTGGGTTTTGCAAGAGCAGACAGGACGGTCGCATCCGCTAAAGTGTGTGCGCGTGTTTTCGCGGACTCAAAGGACGGTCGCATCAGCGCACACACGCACACACACAGCCGGCTTCTCGCCGGCCTTGGAGTCGACTCTAAAGACACCTCCACACTCTCACCGAGCACGCGTAGGAGCAGTTGCGGCACGGGCTTCCCTCCGGCGACCAGAACGCCGCGAACCGGAACGAAGCGTTGCTGCCCGCGCTACGCTCCGACGGCGCAGACGTGATATTCACCGCCAGCAGCACCGGCGCTGCTGCTCGCTCCGCGCTCGTCCCCCCGCCAGAGTCTTCTGGTGGCTTTTTCGATGGCGTTTCCAGTGGCGGCTTTGTCGAGTTTAAGGTCGATGGAACAGCTGCGGTCGGAGCGTCGGCTCCCAGCGTCGCCTCGCCGCGAGAAACGGTGAGTGCTCCTGCGCCTTCTTCTTCTGCTGCTGCGGCGATTCTCGAAACCGCGGCGGCGGCGGCGGCGGACGGGATTGACCTCCCGTCCTGGTCGCTCTGAGAGGAAGATTTGGCGGCAGCGGGAAGGACGGAGGGGGGTAAGAGACATAGAGCGAGGAGGAGGAGAGGGAGGAAGTGACGAAGCGGCGGGATCTTGTGGTTGCGACGGGTGGACGGGCACCTGCCCGCGGGCAGGTTGCAACGCTGCCGCCGCGTCGCGCTGACTGTTGTCGCTGTGTCCAAAGCCATGACACCGCACGGTAACGACTTCTCCGGAAGACGACAGTATTAGAAACCGGTTTCAGGTCAGAATTAAGTTGTCTTGATCCCCTTTGTTTCTTCTGCCGATGGTTTATCTCCTGTCCGGGTTGCGAATGCTGGGTTGAGCCAATCCGCACTTGCAGACGTTTCTAGTAGTCGCACTGTTGCCGAAGGCTGAGAGGTCAGGTCAGGAGTCAAAGTTCAGGTGTCAGATTGGCTGGTACAGGTACACGTGTCCAGGAATCAGGTAGAAGTACAGGTGTCAGGTTCAAAGCTCAGGTAGAGTACACGTGTCAAGCTCCAGTGTCAGATTGAGCGGGAGTCCGAAACCAGTTGGTGACGGATCGCGAGCGACGCGAAGCGCGCGCTGCGACTTGATCCGTGGCGGGAACTCTTTGCGGAGTTTGGGCCCGACCAGGAATGAGCGCGTGCGGCGGACACGGCCGACAACGATCAGAATTATTGGTAGGTATCACTGAAGATATGAAGGATAACGAACGGAGGTATGTCCTCGGTAGTAAGTGACGGAGCTGGTCCCAAGAGTTCAAGCGGATTAAGCTAGATGGTCAATGGTGGCTTGCTAATCGCAATATCTCGAGCATTTTGAGAGGAGAATCTGGCGACGCTGCATAAATAGGTCATAAATCCGTGACATGATCTGATTCATCGGTGTTGAACCTCGCACCAGTGTCGCAACACTGAATCCTCCCGACACGGTAAGCCTTTCAGCACCCTAAATTCACGATGTTTCGTTGATTGGCCTGCGTCAGCCGAAATCGGAATGTCTCGGAATGTGGCCTCCTCGTCTTGCCACCTGAGCTGAGTGTGATTGCCTTTCCACCCGTGGTTTCCGAATAAGAAAACACAAGGCAAGAACTTGACAGGCGCCAAGTGTCTTTCTCCAGTAGCCAACAACGCGGAAGGAAGTAAGGCCGATCAATCAGTACAGGCCGCAGCGCCAAACAAACAGGCTATTGGTTAGAGGCTAAATGGGTGAAGGTAAGGATCGAGTGAGAGAAACCGCAGGTGTCTATAGTTAGTGGGACGAAATCGAAATGAAGGCAGAGGGAACAGAGAAGGATTTTGGATTTGAACAGGGGAACAGCGGAATGAGGAGGAGGTCAGGCGAAGGGGCAGCGATGCACGACGCAAGAGGGACTCAAGGAGGAGCACCAGATTCACAAATCTTCCAGTCTCGAGTCGCTCGCTCGGTCGCTCGTCTCGTCGACTTCGAGGCCAATCTAGGGAAGGGAATGCATTCGTAGTGGGCAGAAGCTGGATTGTGGTGGTTGGGTGGGCGGGCGCTGGTGAAACTTGGGTCCCTCCTTGGGAGGAGCTCTCTCGAACTTTGGCTGTCGGGACTCGGGATTCGAAAGTTCTTCTCTGGGAAAATATGCCATTCGTAACCTTCATGGGACTCGATAACACAGTTGGTAAAAAAATAAAGGGTACGGTCACTGCAAAGGGTGTTTTCACGCGACTGATAAAGAGTTTCACGGAATCAGTCACAATCAACTGGTAAAAAAAAACGCGAATGGTCACAGATGAAATTCCCGCCAAAACAAAATGAAACCCAAAAAGAATCTGGGTGCATTTTCGGATTAATCAACCCTAACACGTAACTAGCCAGGTGTTTAGGGTTGATCCGTTCCCGAACCGCATCCGATTCCGATTGGGTTTTAGTTTTTTTTACAAGTTCGCAGATTGGTTGGGGGCGAGCGGGAATTTTGTTGAGTTTCAAGTTTTTTTGGCGGGAGTTACATGTGTGACCATTCGCGTGATTTTTTACCTGTTGTTAATGACTGAATCCGTGACCCCACTTACCAAACCCGTCAGGAAACCCGATACAGTGACCGTACGCGTTTTTTTTGTACCATTTACGTTATCAAGTCCCAAGTTCGTTACTTGTGACATATTTTCCCTTCTTCTCTCGCCATACTGCCTGCCCTATTTCCTCCACTCGGGTGACGCGGCTCTAGTGTGACGGGTTCTTCCTGCCTTCTGCGACTCACACCAGGAGGACTTGAATCAGCGCCAGATTGTTCATCTTTGATTGGCTTATCAGTAAATTAGCGCCAGAGGTCTTGACAGCGCCATCTGTGGCTTGGCCCCTCCCTGCTCGAGGTGTCACAACCTTCCTGTCATATTCTGTTTGAATCAAATTTCCCGCCATTCTTCAAAAAAGCGTCAGAGGTCTGTCACCATTTCAGGCAATCGGAGACCCTATTGGCCGACACCTGACACTGTCAGCCAGCCCCATTGTAGCGCTGTTTCAAACACTTACGGTTATCCTTATTTGATAGTTAATGAAGAAAAAGTCAATGCAGACAGCCTCACACTCTCACAGTTCAATAAATGTAAGACCTTAATGTGAGTAATCATCATTGAATTAACTTTTCATACAGTACCTATTGATGCATATACGTCAGAAATGATGCGAGTTTCTTACCGATTTTTTGCTACCACATTTGAAAATGGGTTTTAGTTTTTAGAAGCTTTGTCAAATTATAATCAAATATACTACAAATCAGTTACAACTTATGGTGCTTACCTGACTAGTATTGTGCAATCAATTATAGCTTATGATGGTCCTAGCACTAGTGAGTACATAGAATCAACCCCTGACATCAGCATAATACCAAAGGAGCTTCATCGCGTGAGATATCATCACCACTCAATTGACAGTATGGATCCCGCCGGAGACGCGGCGCAAAGGGCTGGGTGTGGGTCCGCCCGGGGAAGCATCCTATGTGGGATATGCGGACGACACGTCATTCCTGCTAGAAGGGGAGGAGCAACTGCGAAAGGTGGTGGGGGTGTTAGACACTTTCGGCAAACAATCAGGCCTGAGGGCGAGCTGAGACAAGTCCGTGGTACTTCCGCTGGGTTGTAACAGAGGCACCACTGCTCCGACGGGTATACCCTACAAGTGGTCGGAGAAGGGGGAGCCGGAGCGCCTCTTGGGGGTGTGGATTACACCGAATGGTGATGCTGGCCCGTCCTGGGAGAGGGCCTATGTGAGGATAAAAGAGGAACTCAAGAAGTGGGAATCGCAGTATCTCACGACAACGGCAAGGGTAGCGGTGATCAGCTGCTACGTCCTTCCGGTGCTAATGTTTCAAGCCCAGGTGTACTCACCGCCAGAAGAACTGTCGGAAAAGATAAGGAAACTCTGTCACGCCTTTGTCTCAGCAGGAGAGGCAGTGGAGGAGAAGGTGTTCATACTCTGGAGCGCATACCTGGCGTGCCTCCCACGGAAAGATGGGGGTCTGGGTCAGCTTGACCCGAAGATCTGCTTGGATGGTTTGGCAATCAGAAGAATAGGCAGGCTTTTGGGTGAGCAGGACGGGACACGCCGGTGGCTGGCAGAACAGGCGGCTGAGTTTCCGCAGGGGTGGGCGACTCTGCATGCGCATCCGTCTGCAATTAAACGGTGGCAGAATGGGAGCGAGAGATGGAAGGCAGCGGTGAAGGTCTTCTGGAAATCGCCCCTTGCGTCTCTGGCGGCGCCTGCGAGTAGGTGGGAAGTGGACGAGCAGTTTATATGCTTCAACAGATTTATTATGCACAGAGGAGGGAGCCCTTTCGGTCATCAGTTAGGCACGACAGTCCTCCTCCTTACACGGATACGAGACTTGCTTACCGATGGCCCGAGGAGGAGCAGGCTGTTGAAAGATGAGGCAATACTGACGGGGGAGCTGGGCTCGAAGGAAGCGGCGGTTATGGCACGTAAGGCTTATGCGGCCACGCCTCCGGAATGGAAGAAGCTGGTTGAAGAGCCGGTGACACCAGAGGCGGTGGTGGCAGCATCGGGGGTGGTGAGATACGTCCTGCGGGGAGAGCCTACAGGCCCGCCATGGGCGGTGAAGGGGATAGACCAGGGGGGGGTACGTGTATTGTACATGGTGGTCAATGAGGAAGGAACACTTCGCGTCCCGGGGAGACAAAGGGAGACCTGTTTCGAGGCGTGCTGCCTACAGCCACTAGTGGTTCAGAAGAGCAGGTTGTTGGGGCCAGTAGGCGATCCGAAAACGAAGCTGATAGCGAGCTGCGAGCTGTTCGAGGAAGGGGAGCTGGCTCCGCTGCGTAAGATAAGGGCGATGCTCACCAGGTCGGTGGGGCGGTCGTGGAGACAGGCAGAGTGGGAGGAAGCATGGGGAAAGAAGATTGACTGGAAGAGGGCTATTGAGACCCGCGATTCCATCAGCGTCCCACTCAGAGCAAGGGACGTGCTGCTCAGAGTGCACAGCATGAACCTCCAGGTGGGGGAGAGGCTGGATTTCTTCCAGAACAGAATCAACTGTGCGCACTGTGGAGGAGAGGAAACCCTAGCCCATTGCCTCTACAGTTGCCCGGTCATACAGCCGGTGATTGGCGCGCTTAAACGCTCGCTGCGCATGCTGAACCCAGACAGGCGGGTGGACTCGCTGGGTGACCTCCTGTTCGGGGAAGGAGGGACAGTGTCAGGTTTTCCAGGGATGACGTTGACAGCAGCGCTGCTGCGACAAATCTGGTTGGCAAGATGCAATGTTGTATGGAGGGCTGAAGGCTTTGAGAGGAAGAAGGTGGGACGTGGCGCGGTGCTGGATTTCATGACGCATGCGAGAGTGGTGCTGGCAGCACATGGGAGAGGCAAGGCCACGGAGGGGGGGGACTGTGACTCGAAAACGGATAAATGGCGACACGTGGCAAAGGATGAAAGAGAGCAACTGCAGGGAATCTGCAACGCGGAGGGCCCAGCAAGCTGGTCGGGCCAATTTCTGTCCATCTGGCGCAACCCGCGCACATTCCATCAGCCACCGTAGGCTACCATGGGGGGATTGTGCAACGCCCATTGCGGTGTAGCCTATGCCCTCCAAGAGTACAGTTACGACTGTGGATGTATCTATGTTTGATAATATAGTTACAACCAAAAAAAAAAAAACAAGAGTCGACTAGATCGTCTTAGGGTTGCGAAGCTTTTTGCGTAATCACATAAATTTGTACAG